GCCATTGGGGTCCTTTTACCTTACTATTATAATATAAAGGTGATAATATTATTCTATAAAGGAAATAACATTTTAATAGTATGATAATAAGACTATCTACTACACGAGGGTCATTACTAGAAATAAGGTAAAATTACACGTGTGTTAGCTAAAAAACTAAAAAAATCATTCCCGTGCATTCCTAGGCACTTCCTCATGAACTTTCTCTGCACAGGTTATATTATGTAATATCTGCCTGTGTCTCACCACTCACAACTGTGAGTGTGTAATTTACCTTGGGTACTTTATGATTATGAGCTCCCACTTATTTTAAATAATTTTAAACTCTTTTCTTACAGCAAATAACCTAGACCTATTTTTAATTTGTTTATGCAGGTAAATACTATCAATAAGTCCTTGAGAATAATGAGAATTAATATAATGCTTGAGGCTCTCTGAGAGCCGCTTCTGGCAGACCTCCTGACCAGTGTAGCTTCAGTAAGTTTATTTAGCTACAGCTACATATAAGTTTAATTTATCAAGCCTAGTAACACATGTGTAAAGTGAATGAGCTCCCAGAAGTGATTGTCTCCACCTTCATATAGTTAATTTACATATTCACTTCAAAATACGTGTATTTCAGATTACTCTGTGATCCGAGAAATGTATCCCTGTATCTCATAAGCTCAGCCTCCTCTACCTCACTGCATGCAAAAAGAATAGTGTAGAATGCTCGTTAATTATAAAACTAAATTATTTTTTTTTTAAAGTTTTATATTTTCTTTAAAACTGTTTTTTTTTTAGGCTTATAAGATAATATCTTAACATATATCTATTTATTAAATTATGGCTACTCAAGGGACCTATGACTTATTGGTTTAGCTTTCCCTAATTGTAACAATAGTAACAATATTTATGGATTTATTTATTCCTTAGAAATTTTCTCACTCCATTATCGAAAAATAAATACTTCACTGTTATTCGTGGATTTTTTTTATGCAGGCCAGCCACCGTCTTACCAGACATGCCGCCCTTATTAATATAATATGATCTGTTGCATATATAACCTAACCTAGCTTTGTCTTGCCTAACTCTAAATAAAAATAGTTTGTTAGCTTACAGGAAATGATAATACATTGTGTGGAAGCTAGTAAGAAAGTTAAGGAAGTCAGATCAAGACGTCTGTTTTTGTACTGACACGTATAAAACATTACAGAAATAAATCAAACGTCAATTATGTACAAAAACAACAAAATATCAAGATTTAATAAGGTTAGGCTAGGTACGGTTTGTTTTCTGACCAGCCACTGGAACTTTTGTTCATCTGATCGAGGCCTTCCACCGGCTCATCGTTCTACCCCTGAAAAATATATTAGCATTTTATGTTTTGTTTTAATTATTAAGATTTAAGGAAAATATTGAAAACTTAATAAAAATTGTTTAGTATCCTTTGTTTTTTTCATTTGCTGAATTTATATAATACTGAATTACATTTGCGTGTGTATAATATATACACATATCAGACATTAATGCCATATGCACTATTATTTTTGTGAATGAATAGTTATTATTTAATTGATAAACAATAGTAAAACCCACCATCATAAAGATTACACTACCAATGTTTCTCGACATGAAATCAACTAGTTCATTATATCCCAACTATCATGCAAGCCAGGGTAACAATGTCACTTTTATATGAATCACTGTACCCTCAAATTTAACAGTGTAGGATTTAACGCAACACCTCGGGTAGTTTCACTTCTGTGTCCCTGAAACAATGCAGATATATTACTGTTAATGAAATACCCAAGTATGTAGCCTGGTCCCATAGCCTTCGCGGTATATAGTTCACTAATTATTTTCACTACTTACTTGTTTGTATTGTTTCCAGCACTCGTATTCTCTCTCACTTTCACTCTGTCATTTACTCTTACTCTACTCTGACTCTTTGGCAGTGTTCTTAATTCCACTGAGAATACCACCCTAAAAATTTTGTTCTGCTCCTCGCAAAATTCTTGATTATTGTGAGTTCCCCTTACCTGGAGTTTACCTGGAGAGAGTTCCGGGGGTCAACGCCCCCGCGGCCCGGTCTGTGACCAGGCCTCCTGGTGGATCAGAGCCTGATCAACCAGGCTGTTGCTGCTGGCTGCACGCAAACCAACGTACGAGCCACAGCCCGGCTGATCAGGAACCGACTTTAGGTGCTTGTCCAGTGCCAGCTTGAAGACTGCCAGGGGTCTGTTGGTAATCCCCCTTATGTATGCTGGGAGGCAGTTGAACAGTCTCGGGCCCCTGACACTTATTGTATGGTCTCTTAACGTGCTAGTGACACCCCTGCTTTTCATTGGGGGATGTTGCATCGTCTGCCAAGTCTTTTGCTTTCGTAAAAGACTCCTTCCTTCTTCAACCTTATTACCTAGTCCTTCACATTTATCTTCCTTCTGATTTGGCTCTACATCAGCTCTGGCTCAGATTTAGCTTTTGATGCTAAGTCATTCTCAAACTGCGATTCGGCCTCTTCTTATCCATGCACATTCATTTCTGGCCTTTCTGCTTGCTTCCCTGCTCTCTGGTGTTCTTTTCTGCCTATGTCTTCCATGCGCTTAGCTTTTGCCTCCCTGCGCCTCTGAGTGAATCATGGGCTCATTCTTGGTATAGTTACACAAATTTAGGTGATAACGTTTATCATACATCGTAATATTTGTGCAAATTTACCTCGGATAACTCCCAGAAAAGTCAGACGAAGTACGAATTTCTCCTCGGTACTTTCCAGCTACATACTCTGTGAATACATTTGTTGTCATTCCTTATAGCTCTCTATCCCACTGCTTAGAAATTTCCCAACTCCACCATAGTTTCCTCCTTTAAAGTTAGGTTTGTCCCTTCATTTGTACTCTATTCCTCACTATTCTCTAAGCTCACTATTCCACAAGGCATTCAAATCATAGTACTGAGCGGTCTCTAGCACCAAGAGGCATCTCAAATGCGATGTCCGTAACAACAGTCTCTTAAGGTAAACATAAGGTCCGGCCTTGCTGGCTAGCAACCCTTGCCTTAGTTGTGTCCCTGACTTATTGACCCGTGAAATTTCCCATCGCCACCTCCAGCAGTTTAGATCCCCATGTTTCCACCCTCCGTGTGGCTCCAGACTTTTCCTTATGGTTCAAATCTCCAATGGTCATTAGCAGATACCTCTGCTAGTGACCATTGGTTACTAAACTTAGGGTGTGGGCGTTGTGCTCATCTAGGGCTTGCAAGAGGGTGTCCATATGACCCATTTGGGACCTTCTACTTTAAATAACAAAAAAGGCACAATATCGTGACTGGAACAATACACAAATAACTCGGACCGAAACGTCGTCGTAAGCTCCTCTCTTCTATGTGCGGGTTATTTGTGTAACTTCTGCTTTGTTGTTATTTGCAAAGGTACTTCTCTCTTATGGCCCAGCTTAACTACATTTCCGCAAGAGAGGTTCCTTATTTTATTAATTTGAACATGATACATAGAAGTACAAGGAAATACAGTGGTTAAGTGTAACATGCCAAAGCCCCTTGTATGCAGAGCATAATGGGCAGGCTTAAAATTAACTTAAGATTAACTAAGCAGTGATATATTCAGTGGTAAACATTATTGTAAACAAATAACAATTAAGCACAAATGAGTATTTCAAAGACAGGTCATACTGTCATTTACTGTGTGCTGAGCATTCAGTAGAATGGAGTATTCTGTTAGGTAATGTAATTAAAAATAACAAAGTTTGATTGGGTCACAGGTTAAACATTTATGAGATACAATTATTCAGTATTTATTTAGTTGAGGGTGAGTAAGTGATTTTTAAGAAGAGACTTGAATTTATAAACAGACAGTGTTTCTTTTATATTCACAGGTAATGAATTACAGATTTTTGGGCCTTTTATGTGCATTGAGTTTTTGCAAAGTGTGAGATGGACACGAGGAACATCAAAGAGTGATCTGTGTCTTGTGTTATGGTCATGTGTTCTGTTGAGGTTGGTAAGGAGACGTTTGAGGGGAGGGTTTACATCCGAGTTAAGTGTTCTATGTATGTAGTAAGTACAATAATAAGTATGGATGTTTTGGATGGTGAGTAGGTTTAGAGTTTTGAATATTGGTGGAGTGTGCTGCCTGTAGTGGGAATTTGTTATTCTGACTGCAGCCTTTTGTTGGGTAATTAATGGTATGAGATGGCTTATTGTTGTTGAGCCCCATGCACAAATTCCATAGGTGAGATAGGGGTAAATAAGTGAGTGATATAGGGTCAGGAGGGCTGACTGTGGAATATAGTACCGTATCTTCGATAGTATGCTCGTAAAGGGCTCTTGATCTAAAGAATTGGATCTGTGCTCTAATTCCCTGAATAAAGCCTGAATGCCTTCCACCCCACCCCTTACAAACACTGTATAATCCCTATGGGTTTAGCGTTCCCCCATAATAATCTTTAGAAAATCATGAAGGAGGGTGGATGCGCCGTAAGCTGTCAACAGCCCTTACAAACCCAACAGACAAGAATAAAACTTGCATAACAATGAACCTTACCCAGCGCTGAATATTTGAAGCTGACTGGATGAAGCTTTATCAAGTTATAGAAAAAATTCAGAAAGAAAAACAATCTAGCAACCACTTGAGATATACCTTCGGGATACTTATAATCGGAAGCTTTTCAGAAAATGTTAGTCATTTTTTTTGTGCCAATTGTAAACCATTCTTTATTAAAATAGCTTAGCGCTTCTTTTTGATTATAATAATAATAATTTATTAAAATAGTTATTTTATTTGTTTTATTTTAATCCCTCAGGAGTCAAGGTCACGAACAAAACACGTTCAGGAGGCTCACGTTATGTAATGTTTAAGTAAATTTGTTGTTGCAAAATACATCGAATACATTTATTCCAGTAAACATAAGTACTTTTAAAGAATCAAAGAAAATAAAAAAAATAAAGATTATGTATTTTGCCACTGCATTAATTAATATCGTCTTAATGAAATAAATTATATAACCCGGAGACAAGAGTGTCCAATATTTTGGTGGTGATCTCCCGTGGTGGTGTTCCCGCGCTCAACCTTCTGATATTACCCTGGAATGTGGGTTTTAGAGAAAGATGGGACACCTCCAGGTAATTAATGAGTCTCCATGCCCACTAATCTAGCTGCTGGAAATAAGTAGAGAGGATGATAATGGTGTAGAGAGGGACAACATGGGCAGTACCCTGCCACTGCTGACTATTGTATTAATATTCTGTTTGTTTTACTAAGGTGTATATATATATTTTTATTACTATGCATATTTTCTGACATTGAATAACTTAAAACATATTTACAATGATTGTCATAAGCACAATATTGGTATCTGTCGCGCGAGAGATGAGCTTTATCAAATGTCTATTATTATTATTATTATAATCAAGGGGGAAGCGCTAAACCCGGAGGATTATACAGCGCCTAGGGGGGGGGGGATGTGGAAGGCATTCAGGCTTAATTCGGGGAACTGGAGCACAGATCCAATTCCCTAAATCAAGAGCCCCTCACCAACATCAAGGAACCTTCCTTGAGGGGATCAAATGTCTAGAAATTAATTTTTGTGTTTTTCCAAGATTTCTGCAGCGGTTATTTTAAACACATGATTATTTTGGACACACTTGTGCAACACCTGCAGTGATGTTTTCTGAAAATGACCTAAATAAATTTCACTTTAACCTGTTAACTTTTTCTCACTTATCGTATAAAAAACATTAATAATGCAATTATAACTATTTTTAAGAAATATAATATTTGCATGTTTTGATGTTTATAATGCAGTTGTTAATGTTTGATACTTAGACAAGGTCCTGCAGTCTAAAGTCTTGAAAATAAGAAGACTTTCCCTTCCTAGCTTACAGTATATGGTTCTTGCATTTAATGCTGATATTAAGTTTAGAATTCCTTTGTTGCACTTACCCTTTCTTCACTCTATGCTGGTAGAGTATGGCAGCCTGTGCATAACAGGGAATATAATAACCTTGTGGTTGTTGCAGCCGTTTAACACTATCCACAATGCTTCTTAAAATTAGGTAAGATTTTTAACGTGGAGAGTTAGCCACCCAAGAAAGTCAATGCATCATCGAGGACTCTGTCTTATTTCCATTGGGGTCTTTCAGTTTTGTCCCCAGGATGCAACCCACACCAGTTAACTAACACCCAGGTACCTACATACTGCTACGTAGGAGAATAGGGACAGCAGGTGTAAGGAAATGTGCCCATTGTTTCCACCCATACCGGGGATTGAACCAGGGGCTCTGGTGGCCTGGTGGTTAACGCTCTCGCTTCACACGGTGAGGGCCTGGGTTCGATTCCCAGCCAGAGTAGAAACATTGGACGTGTTTCTTTCCACCTGTTGTCTATGTTCCCCATCAGTAAAATGGGTACCTGGGTGTTAGTCGACTGGTGTGTGGTCGCATCCTGGGACACTGACCTAAGGAGGCCTGGTCACAGACCGGGCCGCGGGGGCGTTGATCCCCGGAACTCTCTCCAGATAAACTCCAGATAGACACTCAGTGTGTGAGGCGAGAGCAATATAAGATGCTGGTTTCATAATCTTTACTTTTGGTGCCAAAAAGTAGAATTCCCCAGTTATCCCAGAGAAACCAATTAATTTTATGGATACATCATGCAATTATTACAATATTTGCTTGACTCACTTCCTCTATAACTTGAACTTGAACCCTTTAACTGTCAGTTATGTAGATCTATGTCATTGGGATCAGTGTCACTGCTGTAGTTCTGTCATTGGGATCAGTGTCACTGCTGTAGCTCTGTCATTGGGATCAGTGTCACTGCTGTAGCTCTGTCATTGGGATCAGTGTCACTGCTGTAGCTCTGTCATTGGGATCAGTGTCACTGCTGTAGCTCTGTCATTGGGATCAGTGTCACTGTTGTAGCTCTGTCATTGGGATCAGTGTCACTGCTGTAGCTCTGTCATGGGATCAGTAACACTGCTGTAGCTGTCATTGGGATCAGTGTCACTGCTGTAGCTCTGTCATTGGGATCAGTGTCACTGCTGTAGCTCTGTCATTGGGATCAGTGTCACTGCTGTAGCTCTGTCATGGGATCAGTGTCACTGCTGTAGCTCTGTCATGGGATCAGTAACACTGCTGTAGCTCTGTCATTGGGATCAGTGTCACTGCTGTAGCTCTGTCATTGGGATCAGTGTCACTGCTGTAGCTCTGTCATTGGGATCAGTGTCACTGCTGTAGCTCTGTCATTGGGATCAGTGTCACTGCTGTAGCTCTGTCATTGGGATCAGTGTCACTGCTGTAGATCTCATTGGGATCAGTGTCACTGCTGTAGCTCTGTGTCATTGGGATCAGTGTAACTGCTGTAGCTCTGTCATTGGGATCAGTGTCACTGCTGTAGATCTCATTGGGATCAGTGTCACTGCTGTAGCTCTGTCATTGGGATCAGTGTCACTGCTGTAGATCTCATTGGGATCAGTGTCACTGCTGTAGCTCTGTGTCATTGGGATCAGTGTCACTGCTGTAGATCTCATTGGGATCAGTGTCACTGCTGTAGCTCTGTCATTGGGATCAGTGTCACTGCTGTAGATCTATGTCATTAGGATCAGTATCACTGCTGTAGATCTATGCATAATTTCTAGTTCCCTCCAATTTGTTATGAGCAACAAATTTTAGCATAGATGTGAGACTGGGCATGCACATATAAAAAAAAAACTTGCCTCATGCAGTACACAACAGAAACAATTAACTTCTGACCTTGTGTTTGGATTAAAATAGTGTTTTGCAGGCATTTTCTAGGGTAATTTTATTGATTCTATTAGCTGTTTCTTGGGGTCACTAGGTATACTGGAATACATACTAATGAAATGGAGAAGATTTTGGTCAGTTTCAAAACCAGAAATAGGCCTCATACTGACAGAAATTGTTGATATTAGGTGATTTTTCTTGGGAAAAGGTAGGGTACCCCTACCCACCCCTGTTTCTTATGGGTTTTACTAAGTCTGCTTTGATTGTTGGGATGGTCTAAACCATGACTAAGTGTTCTTGGTTATAGTTTATTAGCCAAGATATAGGGAAAACATCAAATGTGTGTGACAGTGGATTTAAATTGGAAGGCAAGTGTTATATAGAAGCCAGGGGATGTCATTAATGAACAAAACGAAGGTTGCTTTAGTGGCTGGAATGCTTAGTGTCTGTTTTAAACTTTGCTTTTAAATTGGAATTTGCTAAAAAATCCTGTAAAATTAGCAAATTACCAATTTGTGTGTGCTTAATAAGACAATTCTGATTGCTGAATGATCAGTTTCTTGTGACTAATGGACAGTATGGAAGGCATAATAACAATATAGCCAGAAATTGGGTCAGTTTAGGCATTGGAATTGGCCTAACATAGGTCTCATAGTGGGTGAAATCATTTGTGTAAGCCTGCATCTTTGGTATCATTATCTTTAGAAAAAATTCTCAACTATGTTCGAAGACAATTTAAAAAATGGCAACCAAGGTGCTTTCACATTCACTCTATTTCAGTACCTCTATCTACCCTCTGTGATGGGGTATATAAGTTGGCATTCACTTCCTCTCTAGCACTTGACAAAGCTTGCACTTGAGCAAAACACTGCCTAATAAATGCCTTACTAATTATCTTTTTTTTTACCCCATTTGTTGGTGGCTTGCTTCTTATTCCAAAGATTATCATGTCTGACAAGTGAATTTTAAACTTATATTTCTGAAGAGTAGTACATGACTTAATGTTACAGACCATTGACAATATCATATTTGGTGACTTAGAACAATTGATAGTAATTTTATTTACCATATGAAATTTAAAACAATTAACATAGTAATTTTTATTTTCCAGATGAAATTCAAAACAATTAACAGTAATTTTTATTTACCAGATGAAATTCACTTCTTGTACTGTGGGACACTACTGCTGGTGACCCGACGTGAGGGTCACATTCTTCTTCAGGGTGATGTCTCCATCAGCCGACAGCATGCTGCTATTTTTATTACTCACTCGATTGAAAATTTGGTAAGTCTTTGGATATACCCTTTCATCTCTTCTTTTAATTTTTAATCTGTAGCTAATTATGTAATCAAAAATAATTTTCCTATCACATAGGTATTAAGAGTCTCTAGTATTATGTACTCTGCCATTCAGTATAATGATGATGGTTTTGCATGTGCTGCATCAGCAGAACAGAAGATAGTCTTGAACAGTCTTCTGAGACTCCATTGTCATGGTCATGATCAAACTCCATTGTACATTTGACTGCAGCAATAGAACTGATAAGAATAATAGGTCTTTCTGATTATTTTATTTTTATTATCACACCGGCCGATTCCCACCAAGGCAGGGTGGCCCGAAAAAGAAAAACTTTCACCATCATTCACTCCATCACTGTCTTGCCAGAAGGGTGCTTTACACTACAGTTTTTAAACTGCAACATTAACACCCCTCCTTCAGAGTGCAGGCACTGTACTTCCCATCTCCAGGACTCAAGTCCGGTATGCCGGTTTCCCTGAATCCCTTCATAAATGTTACTTTGCTCACACTCCAACAGCACGTCAAGTATTAAAAACCATTTGTCTCCATTCACTCCTATCAAACACGCTCACGCATGCCTGCTGGAAGTCCAAGCCCTCGCACACAAAACCTCCTTTACCCCCTCCCTCCAACCCTTCCTAGGCCGACCCCTACCCCGCCTTCCTTCCACTACAGACTGATACACTCTTGAAGTCATTCTGTTTCGCTCCATTCTCTCTACATGTCCGAACCACCTCAACAACCCTTCCTCAGCCCTCTGGACAACAGTTTTGGTAATCCCGCACCTCCTCCTAATTTCCAAACTACGAATTCTCTGCATTATATTCACACCACACATTGCCCTCAGACATGACATCTCCACTGCCTCCAGCCTTCTCCTCGCTGCAACATTCATCACCCACGCTTCACACCCATATAAGAGCGTTGGTAAAACTATACTCTCATACATTCCCCTCTTTGCCTCCAAGGACAAAGTTCTTTGTCTCCACAGACTCCTAAGTGCACCACTCACTCTTTTTCCCTCATCAATTCTATGATTCACCTCATCTTTCATAGACCCATCCGCTGACACGTCCACTCCCAAATATCTGAATACGTTCACCTCCTCCATACTCTCTCCCTCCAATCTGATATTCAATCTTTCATCACCTAATCTTTTTGTTATCCTCATAACCTTACTCTTTCCTGTATTCACCTTTAATTTTCTTCTTTTGCACACCCTACCAAATTCATCCCCAATCTCTGCAACTTCTCTTCAGAATCTCCCAAGAGCACAGTGTCATCAGCAAAGAGCAGCTGTGACAACTCCCACTTTGTGTGTGATTCTTTATCTTTTAACTCCACGCCTCTTGCCAAGACCCTCGCATTTACTTCTCTTACAACCCCATCTATAAATATATTAAACAACCACGGTGACATCACACATCCTTGTCTAAGGCCTACTTTTACTGGGAAAAAATTTCCCTCTTTCCTACATACTCTAACTTGAGCCTCACTATCCTCGTAAAAACTCTTCACTGCTTTCAGTAACCTACCTCCTACACCATACACTTGCAACATCTGCCACATTGCCCCCCTATCCACCCTGTCATACGCCTTTTCCAAATCCATAAATGCCACAAAGACCTCTTTAGCCTTATCTAAATACTGTTCACTTATATGTTTCACTGTAAACACCTGGTCCACACACCCCCTACCTTTCCTAAAGCCTCCTTGTTCATCTGCTATCCTTTTCTCCGTCTTACTCTTAATTCTTTCAATTATAACTCTACCATACACTTTACCAGGTACACTCAACAGACTTATCCCCCTATAATTTTTTGCACTCTCTTTTATCCCCTTTGCCTTTATACAAAGGAACTATGCATGCTCTCTGCCAATCCCTAGGTACCTTACCCTCTTCCATACATTTATTAAATAATTGCACCAACCACTCCAAAACTATATCCCCACCTGCTTTTAACATTTCTATCTTTATCCCATCAATCCCGGCTGCCTTACCCCCTTTCATTTTACCTACTGCCTCACGAACTTCCCCCACACTCACAACTGGCTCTTCCTCACTCCTACAAGATGTTATTCCTCCTTGCCCTATACACGAAATCACAGCTTCCCTATCTTCATCAACATTTAACAATTCCTCAAAATATTCCTTCCATCTTCCCAATACCTCTAACTCTCCATTTAATAACTCTCCTCTCCTATTTTTAACTGACAAATCCATTTGTTCTCTAGGCTTTCTTAACTTGTTAATCTCACTCCAAAACTTTTTCTTATTTTCAACAAAATTTGTTGATAACATCTCACCCACTCTCTCATTTGCTCTCTTTTTACATTGCTTCACCACTCTCTTAACTTCTCTCTTTTTCTCCATATACTCTTCCCTCCTTGCATCACTTCTACTTTGTAAAAACTTCTCATATGCTAACTTTTTCTCCCTTACTACTCTCTTTACATCATCATTCCACCAATCGCTCCTCTTCCCTCCTGCACCCACTTTCCTGTAACCACAAACTTCTGCTGAACACTCTAACACTACATTTTTAAACCTACCCCATACCTCTTCGACCCCATTGTCTATGCTCTCATTAGCCCATCTATCCTCCAATAGCTGTTTATATCTTACCCTAACTGCCTCCTCTTTTAGTTTATAAACCATCACCTCTCTCTTCCCTGATGCTTCTATTCTCCTTGTATCCCATCTACCTTTTACTCTCAGTGTAGCTACAACTAGAAAGTGATCTGATATATCTGTGGCCCCTCTATAAACATGTACATCCTGAAGTCTACTCAACAGTCTTTTATCTACCAATACATAATCCAACAAACTACTGTCATTTCGCCCTACATCATATCGTGTATACTTATTTATCCTCTTTTTCTTAAAATATGTATTACCTATAACTAAACCCCTTTCTATACAAAGTTCAATCAAAGGGCTCCCATTATCATTTACACCTGGCACCCCAAACTTACCTACCACACCCTCTCTAAAAGTTTCTCCTACTTTAGCATTCAAGTCCCTACCACAATTACTCTCTCACTTGGTTCAAAGGCTCCTATACATTCACTTAACATCTCCCAAAATCTCTCTCTCTCCTCTGCATTCCTCTCTTCTCCAGGTGCATACACGCTTATTATGACCCACTTCTCGCATCCAACCTTTACTTTAATCCACATAATTCTTGAATTTACACATTCATATTCTCTTTTCTCCTTCCATAACTGATCATTTAACATTACTGCTACCCCTTCCTTTGCTCTAACTCTCTCAGATACTCCAGATTTAATCCCATTTATTTCCCCCCACTGAAACTCTCCTACCCCCTTCAGCTTTGTTTCGCTTAGGGCCAGGACATCCAACTTCTTTTCATTCATAACATCAGCAATCATCTGTTTCTTGTCATCCGCACTACATCCACGCACATTTAAGCAACCCAGTTTTATAAAGTTTTTCTTCTTCTCTTTTTTAGTAATTGTATACAGGAGAAGGGGTTACTAGCCCATTGCTCCCGGCATTTTAGTCGCCTCATACGACACGCATGGCTTACGGAGGAAAGATTCTTTTCCACTTCCCCATGGACAATAGAAGAAATAAAAAAGAACAAGAGCTATTTAGAAAAAGGAGAAAAACCTAGATGTATGTATATATATATATGCATGTGCGTGTCTGTGAAGTGTGACCAAAGTGTAAGTAGGAGTAGCAAGATATCCCTGTTATCTTAGCGTGTTTATGAGACAGAAAAAGAAACCAGCAATCCTACCATCATGCAAAACAGTTACAGGTTTTTGTTTCACAGTCATCTGGCAGGACGGTAGTACTTCCCTGGGTGGTTGCTGTCTACCAACCTACTACCTATATCTTTCTGATATTTTACAGAAAAGCTAAAAGGCAGGCTCTTGTACTTTATTTAAACCCAGCAACTCATTTTGCAGTACTTGTACATACAGTATATATATTCTGATTATAAACCATACCACAGGTGGGGATAGAACCCATGGACAGAGAGTCATAAAACCCCTGGGCCAGCTGGAATTTGAGACACACTGACCGCGGGTTCTATTCCCACCCATGGTATGGTTTATTTGTAATCGTGTCATTACGATTTCGTGAGTCAGTTATTCTGATTATTTCATCTCAGGTAAGCTGTATAGCAGCCTTAAATTAAAATAAGAATATTTATGTAGCATGCAGCCCCTTTTAAAGCAGTTGAATCTGCAGAACTAGAGAATGCACAGAGAACCTTCACTGCACATATACAGGAGGACCCCACTTATACAGCAGGTGAGGTTATTGGCTACTGCTGTAAAGTGAAACCTAGACTTGAACAATAGAGCTAGGCCTAAATAATGCATATACAATGGAACCTCTACTTGTGAGTGCATCCACGTGCGAGTTTTACCAAATATGACCAGTCAGTGGGTCAGTTTTTGCTTCCATACGCGAGCAAAATTTCCATAAGCGAGCAGACCTTGACGCTGGTGAGGGGCTCTTGCTCTTGATCTAGGGAATTGTATCTCGTTTGTTTGTTGGACTATCTTATTGAAATTTGGGCAGTGTATGATGGAAAGATGCTTAACATAATAATAATAATATAATCATATGTATAATAATGTATAATAATATGTATAATAATAATAGTATAAAAATAATAATAATAAAAATAAAAATAAAAATAATAAATGTATGAAAGAGGGGAAGGTACCTAGGGATTGGCGGAGAGCATGTATAGTCCCTTTATATAAAGGGAAAGGGGACAAAAGAGATTGTAAAAATTATAGAGGAATAAGTTTACTGAGTAAACCAGGAAAAGTATACTGTAGGGTTATAATTGAAAGAATTAGAGGTAAGACAGAATGTAGGATTGCGGATGAGCAGGGAGGCTTCAGAGTGGGTAGGGGATGTGTAGATCAAGTGTTTACATTGAAGCATATATGTGAACAGTATTTAGATAAAGGTAGGGAAGTTTTTATTGCATTTATGGATTTAGAAAAGGCATATGATAGAGTGGATAGAGGAGCAATGTGGCAGATCTTGCAAGTACAGTGGACCCCTGCATAACGATCACCTCCGAATGCGACCAATTATGTAAGTGTATTTATGTAAGTGCGTTTGTACGTGTATGTTTGGGGCTCTGAAATGGACTAATCTACTTCACAATATTCCTTATGGGAACAAATTCAGTCAGTACTGGCACCTGAACATACTTCTGTAGTGAAAAAATATCATTAACTGGGGGTCCACTGTATATGGAATAGGTGGTAAGTTACTAAATGCTGTTAAGAGTTTTTATGAGGATAGTGAGGCTCAGGTTAGGGTGTGTAGAAGAGAGGGAAAATACTTCCTGGTAAAAGTAGGTCTTAGACAGGGATGTGTAATGTCACCATGTTTTTTTAATATATTTATAGATGGGGTTGTAAAAGAAGTAAATGCTAGGGTGTTCGGGAGAGGGGTGGGGTTAAATTATGGGGAATCAAATTCAAAATGGGAATTGACACAGTTACTTTTTGCTGATGATACTGTGCTTATGGGAGATTCTAAAGAAAAATTGCAAAGGTTAGTGGATGAGTTTGAGAATGTGTGTAAAGGTAGAAAGTTGAAAGTGAACATAGAAAAGAGTAAGGTGATGAGGGTATCAAATGATTTAGATAAAGAAAAATTGGATATCAAATTGGGGAGGAGGTGTATGGAAGAAGTGAACGTTTTCAGATACTTGGGAGTTGACGTGTTGGCGGATGGATTTATGAAGGATGAGGTTAATCATAGAATTCATGAGGGAAAAAAGGTGAGTGGTGCGTTGAGGTGTATGTGGAGTCAAAAAACGTTATCTATGGAGGCAAAGAAGGGAATGTATGAAAGTATAGTAGTACCAACACTCTTATATGGATGTGAAGCTTGGGTGGTAAATGCAGCAGTGAGGAGACAGTTGGAGGCAGTGGAGATGTCCTGTCTAAGGGCAATGTGTGGTGTAGATATTATGCAGAAAATTCGGAGTGTGGAAATTAGGAGAAGGTGTGGAGTTAATAAAAGCATTAGTCAGAGGGCAGAAGAGGGGTTGTTGAGGTGGTTTGGTCATTTAGAGAGAATGGATCAAAGTAGAATGACATGGAAAGCATATAAATCTATAGGGGAAGGAAGGAGGGGTAGGGGTCGTCCTCGAAAGGGTTGGAAAGAGGGGGTAAAGGAGGTTTTGTGGGCTAGGGGCTTGGACTTCCAGCAAGCGTGCATGAGCATGTTAGATAGGAGTGAATGGAGACGAATGATACTTGGGACCTGACGATCTGTTGGAGTGTGAGCAGGGTAATATTTAGTGAAGGGATTCAGGGAAACCGGTTATTTTCATATAGTCGGACTTGAGTCCTGGAAATGGGAAGTACAATGCCTGCACTTTAAAGGAGGGGTTTGAGATATTGGCAGTTTGGAGGGATATGTTGTGTATCTTTATACATATATGCTTCTAAACTGTTGTATTCTGGGCACCTCTGCAAAAACAGTGATAATGTGTGAGTGTGGTGAAAGTGTTAAATTATGATGAAAATATTTTCTTTTTGGGGATTTTCTTTTTTTTTTTGGGTCACCCTGCCTCGGTGGGTGACGGCCGACTTGTTGAAAAAAAAAAAAATAACACATATATAATAATAATGTACTACATAATAATTATAATAATAGACGACTTCAAAAGGTCATCACTAGATGGCAGTGTTTACCACAAAAAAGAGGAAACGGTTGTGGCCGCCTTCACCTGTTACATAATGACATATTTTATGCATTCTGGAGTATATATCAGGTTTCTGTTATTTATATTGTTTATTATTTCATATTAGATGAACTGTGATAGATAAATAAGCCCTAGAGTTGATGATAGTGAAATATTCAAGGAGTATTTTGTCCTGTTTCCAGAGAAACTCTCATCAGCCGCTGCTGCTGCCACATATATAATGATGTATTTATTCATTCTAGAGTATATCTCAGGTTTCTGTGTTATTTATATAGTTTGTTATGTCATATCAGATGAACTGTGATAAATGAATAAGCCGTAGAGTTGATATTGGCAAAATTATTGAAGTACAGAATTCCACTGGAATGGATTAATTGCATATCAATTAATTTAAATGAGGAAAATTGACTCTGCAAATGAGAAAATCCAGTTGCGAGCAAGGTCATGGAACGGATTAAACTCGCAAGTAGAGGTTCCACTGTACAGTACACACATTACTTTAAAATATTTTCGCCCTTAGCTTATAGTGAGTGGTGAATATATTATTGTAGGAAGTGTGAATAAATGAAGAATGGGTATAATTGAAAACTGCTATATTAGCGAAATGCCGTAAAGTAAAGCACCGTAAAATGGGGCCCTCCTGTATGTTCGGTCAAGCACATAAATTATTGGGAGTGCCTAAAGTCCCTAGAGCTGTTCTCTCTCAAATGTAAGTGAAGAAGATGCATTATAATTTATACTTGGAAAATGCTGGAGGAATTCGTTCCTATTCTGCATAGCAAAATTACTTCTAATGAGAGGAAGTAGCTTAGCAGACAGTGCAAAATGCTGTACTGTACCTCCAAAGGAAAGCAGGGGTGTAATGAGTACATCAAGATAAAACTCAGTAAGTGTAAAGGAGCTAAGTCTTAAGTGCCCTCCCTCCATACATAAGGGGAATTACCAACAGACCCCTAGCTGTTTTCAAGAGAGCTGGATAAGTTCCTCAAGTTATTTCCTGATCATCCAGGATGTGGTAACTCTGTTGGGATGCATGCAACTGGCACCACCAGCCTGGTTGAAGAGACCATTGACCAGGAGCTGATGCATACCTCACTTGATCTTTGTGATGTTTCTCTCACTTTTATGTATTTTTCCTGAATCTTTAAGAGGTTTATCTGTGATTTGATAAAGCCCATTGCACGAGCGAAACGTCATTAGTGATAAAACCCATTTGCATTGATGACGTTATATGTAATTCTTTATTGCCAGTGTTTTTCCCACTGCATAGGTGAAACCTTTTCAGTAAAAGGTTTAAATATAACTGCATTTCTCTCTCTTTAGTAGGTAAGTAGAGGCATGATTGTAAGCTCATTACATCCCAGGGTGGCATCACAGGCCATTCACAAAAATAATTGTAACCCTGAAATACTGTATTTCTTTTGTAATTGTGTAAAATAATTTTCTTGGAGAAAATTTGAACATAAACTAATCAGAAATTACCTTTCAGAAAAATATACAAGTATTGCCGAAGGTTGAACTAACTGATTTAGGAGCAAAATACGGTACCTATATGAATGAAGGCATCGAGTCGCAACAAAAGTTGCTTCTAAATTCAAAAACTGAGTTGAACAATGGTGATCAGCTCAAGTTTGGCATGCTTACCAACCTTTGGAGGTAAGGATGCAATAACTTTATGAAAAAATTAAAGATATTAAAAATATACTTCATTTTTTTTCCTTCTGTTGGTTACTTTTATTTAACCTTCAAGAATATTGGAAGATTTAGGCATCTCCTACCTTGCTGGGAGTTGGCTGATGTGTTAAAAAAATTAATTTAAAGAGTACAGTATTAATCCTTAAGCACTGCACAGGTCAGAGCCATGGCAGTATTTTAAAAATTAATAGAAAGTAGAACATAAAAAAAATGTTACTATGAAAGGAAATGTGAAAAATAAAAGAAAAATTTCTTTTTTTATTTTAGAATTCATACTTAATTTTTAGTACCATGTATAACTACCATAAGTCACATTTTTTCTTAATAAATATGCCCAGAGTTATGCCTCCTGTCTCATTAGTGCATACTACCCCAAAAAATATGTAAAAATAATCATAATAATGAAAAAAGTCATTGCTTGGCTTTCTTGAGTTATTCTGAATTAAAAATATACATACACTGTAGTGTAATTTTTACATGCCCATAGTATCTATGTGCCCTGGAAACCATTATAAGCAATATATGTATGCTATGTACACATGCCTAAAAAACTTAAGAGTGGGACTTCACACATTGTTTACATGTCCTTCTGAATCATTGTTGTTCATGATACAGTAGGTAGGCCTGCCTGGCCATATGTTTTTTCCTAGGCATGAGAAAGTGTCAGGACATACAAACAGTTAAGCTGAGCCATAAAATGGTGGCTGGCAGCAACTTCTGAGGCCTACAAAAATTTGGTGCAAAAAATTCATGCACAAAACAAGCTCCTGCATTTATATATGTAGTGTAAGGATAAATATAATACTGTACCTGTACAGTGGACCCTCGGTTATTGGTCGTAATCCATTCCAGAAGGTCGGCCTAAAACCGAAATGGCTGAAAACCAAAATAATATTTCCCATAAGAATTAATGTAAATCAAATTAATCCATTTTAGACACCCAAAAATATTAACAAAAAATACATTTTTTAAAGATTGACGATAGTTTTACATACACAAAACAATGAGAACTAAATAAAATGAAGAATAAAATGGATAAATGACCACATAACCCTTTGACTGTCGCAGTCCAGCCAATTTCACGCAAATTAAAAAAGATGCCAATTTCAAAATAGGGTCCAGAATAAACAATGTAGACATTTTTGGCACTAAAATAACATATCCTCTGTTCATTGGTCATGTCTCTAGGCCCCTCTTATATTACTATTGCTTTCTATTTTGATTTTTTTATTCATACAAAAAAAAAATAAAAAATTTACTGTTATGCAGACTACTGCATTATTGTAAAAATGGTATAAATAATATCAATGCACTAGTGAAAGAATATTAGACTCCCCAGTTGATGTGTATTGGACATGTGGTGTGATTTGCTTACTCTTGAACATTGGTAAAAATCAAACATTTCTGCTACTTTGAGCTCAATTTCAAGGTCGTTTTCATCGTGAAACTAATCAAAATCATCTCTGTTTCTGCAATATGTTTACCATTTTATCACGTGAGACCATGAAAACGAGAATACAACGATAAATACTATATGAAAATACACCTCAAAGTCGGCGTTTTAATCCAAAAAACGGTCGTTTTTTTTTTCTCTCTCATGCACTGCGTGCTGCAGGATTTTTTTTATGTGGTGCACACTGACCACACAGACCCATTCTCTCACATGTGGGCCTACCAGCTTTCTTCTGCTTAATTTGAAGCCACTAGAATTATTGAGTATATATAAGTCCGAAACACTGGCTTGTGAGACGTATATATACGACCAAAACAGTCAAAGGGTTAAATCACTTTTACCTTTATTGAAGAGTCTTGTTGGCGTATGCAAAATGGCGAAGAGTGGAGGGGGAGGCGAGTTTATTGTTTAGAGACAGGACAAAATGCTTAAATATGACGCTATTATCAACTCTTCGGCTTATTTATCTATCAAAGTTCATCTAATATGTTATAATAAACAATATTAATAATATAGAAACATGATATATACTCTAGAATGAATAACATATATCATTATGTATTTGGAGTGGTAGTGGTGGTGGTGTTGGCTAAATACTCAGTACACACATACTCACCTATGTACTCACACATCATAACTTCAACAATCACTTTGAACCTTTTATCCATTGTTGACAGGAATGTAATTGAACCATTGTTTTCACAAAAAGCATTTTAGACTATATGAATATATCCTTTGTGTTATACAAATTTAATTCACTTATAATTAAAAATCTACTGTTCAGCTATGAAATAATTACTATCCTACTATACAACTATGATATAATCCTTAGTGTTAAGTAGTCTGTAAGCCAATAATGTTAAGTTGGCCCATAATGCCTGGGCATAATAGAGGCTCTCTTTGTATTGCAACCCACTATTGTAAATATAAAATCTCAATGTACTGTTTGCAAAGACATAAAATAAATAAATAAATATAAGGGCTACTGAGAGCATAAGCTGTACATGTTAGTGGTAGTGGAAGAGGCAGCAGAGGCCGCCACCACTCTTCACATGAATAATGTACAGTAAGGCCCTGCTTTAGAGCGTTTCACTTTACGACGTTCTGCTATTACGGCCATTTCAAATTATGACCAAAAATCTCTATGCCCCCCCCCCCCCGACTTTCTAATGTGATCACTGCGCCCCACCCAGTTTATTTACGTTTTCCGTGAGCTCCTTAATTAAGCACTACGTCTCTCTATTATGCCTGGAAACTCCAAAATTTCAAGTGTTTTTTGAAAGTTATTTTATATATATGTACTCTGATAATTATACTTACGTATACCTGTATCTAAATAAAGTTACACACTGTACTGGCGTGCAGGTACACATTAAAATCAATAAGAGTGTCTTATGTCTCGAGATGCCATATTAGTAATGATAATAATACCTGATTTCTTACAATAAATACTACTCATCTCACCCTAGATTAAGACTATAAATATTTTAAGGTAAATAATGAGTGTATTATATGTATATTTTACTTTTTTTTTGAATCCACTGGATAAATTATACTTTTAGCTCATTTGATTTCATTATTTATTGCAGAATATCTGTGTACAGGACTATATTAGGTATACAATGCAGTACTTTCATATTTTTTCTCTAATTTTTTGACATTCTGATTTAACAGACACTTTGAAGAATCCTCCGTTAATCTATATACTGTATTTGGGAGCGGCTGAGATACCATTCCCACTTGATCAATCTTATTTTTTCTTGAACCTGATGATGGACATAGTATCAGAAATCTTTGTATTTTAGGTTGGTATACCGACCCCTGATTGTGACAACATCAACGTTGCAGCTGGCTAGCAGGGATGTGTTGACAGATGCTTTGCTCAAGTTGGGTGGCCACTTGGTTGATGAATGGAGTAATGCCTGTTTATACTTGGTCATGACTAACATCACATTCACAGTCAAGGCATGATACATTCTCTGAATTGTCTTAGTCTTTAAATTGAAGCATATTTTCTTGGTGTAAGCCTGAGTAAAATGTTGTGTGTCATGTGACTCTCACCATACTGAATTATTGCAGTATGTGTAGCACCTAACTTAAAGTGGCTCATTTCAGGTGGTGTGTGCTCTAGCTGCTGGACGATACATAGTAACTCCAGAGTTTTTTACCAAGTTGCTGGATGCTGTGATTAACAAAACTTCTCATCCAAATCCTGCTGAATATAATCCTCCACTTAAAGTTAGTTTGGCTTTAGTTTTGAAAAACACACAAGAAAAGGTTAGGATACTTTTTAATGATGTGTGAAATAAGGAGCATAGTGAATTATGATTCTTGACTGAGTGATGTGTACATAAAGTACCCAGTATATTTCCATCAACATGCAGCTTTGTGTATTTTGTGTCATCTTCACATTCTGGTCTTTCCTTGTGACTATTTCTTTCCCAGTACTCCTGGATAATAGACAGGCAACATTGAGCCCCCCCCCCCTTTTTTTTTTGTGTGTGTGTGTGTGTGTGTGCGCATAACACGTTGGCCCTCGCCCACTGACATAAGGTGATCCACAACCTTTATTCAATCTCTGTCCTGCCTTGATGGGAGATGGCCATTGTGTCAAAAAAAAAAAAAAAAAAAGACGTATGTGTAGTACTTGGGTATCTTTATTTTCACCTCATTATTCAATTGTAGAAGCTGCCAAGTAGGTGAAACATTTTAACAATAAAGATTCCAACCTGTTTCACATGTGTCTTACTCATCTACAACATATTTTACTTGAATATATACTCTGCTTTGTTATATTGGTGTAGCAGTCATTATTACTACAAGTTGTTGTGTCCAACAGTTTGTAGTAAGAATGCAGTTAGAGGGAATTGAACATGAATGTACACACTTTGGACACTTTTATTGAAAATATTTTTGAAGTGATCAAGGTCCTAGGACTAAAACATTATCAATAAAGGTCTAAGTTTATGCAGTCATGGCCATGGTATTTTGCATCTAGTGCAAAAAAGGTTCCCACCTGCAATCCTTTCCAATGGTGCAGTTTCTTATATTTGGCCATCTACCTCGTAATGGCAACATTATCCACATTGTAACATGTGTTACTGAGTCGGTGTTTTCCTGCCTGATCCTAGAACTTTTCCTAGTAGTGAGGTGGAAGATAACCCAAGCAGTCCTAAACAGGCAGTGCATGCTCAATTTGAAACCTAAAAAAAATATGCATACCGATATATTGAACACAGCCTTATCTCCTGCACACTAATATGTCATACAAAAGTTTAACAGTTATGTATTTCAAACAGTTATGGCCATTTTACATAAAATGTCAAGTCAGTGTTTTGTGTAAAAGTTCATTTCCAGTTATTATTTCATACATATTCCTTTTATCAGATTGATTTGATTTAATATATTGAAAGTGATAAAAAGGAAAAAGAAAAGTTTGTCTCAGAAATAAATTTTAAGCTAAAAATGGATTCTGTAAGACTCAGTTTGCATAATAAGTTGAACAAATTGAATGCTTGCTATCATTTCCTTTTTTTTATTATTATTATTATTATTCAAAAAAATAGGATGATAAGGCATGTCTTCATCATGTATCTCTTACATACATTTAGTGAGTTAAGGCAGATGATTTCCTCTACATTTTAGTTCTTCTTTCAACAAACCAGCTGTATCCCACTGAATGATTTTAGAGTTGCTCATCATAAATACAACATATCTATGGCTATATCATATATACAACATAAACACAGCATACCTATGGCTGGGTGGGCTTAGACCCCTGCTAATTTTCCATTATATCTCAGAGGTGTTCTTTCCTCAGTCAAGAAATATTTTCAGTTTAAAAATACACTTAATTCCTACCATTTTGTACTGACTTATTATACTTATGATAATTCTACACCATTGTGTACTGCAGGCAACCCAGCCTACATATTTTCTCCTATGCTTCTACAGTGATCATTAAAAGTGATGTCCCTTTAAAACCCCTTGGTGAGCATCTGCCTTGTTAATGTTTTGTAATCATTATTGTTATGATGAATGGAAATGGATGTGCAGTACTAATTTCCACTCCTTTTCAGGAGATGACAATTAATAGTGGAAAGGTGTCTTTTGTTCCTGATGAAAGGAGGAAGACTCTGTTTAGTGGGTGCACATTTTTATTTTCCTCTGAAAAACAGCTGAAGAGGATGGCACAAGCCATAGCTCTAGCAGGTGCGTATATCCACTTGTGATTGTCATTACCTGTTGAAATTAAATCAAGGTTGTGCTCTGGGCCATGATTACCAGATGGAGGAATAACCTTTATAACTAATTGCTCTGAGTCACCCATATGGGTTTACCAGTTCTTGAAGTACACATACACCACCAGTTTTCCAATACTTTTGGTGCAGGAGCCTTGCCAGATTATCCATTTTGCTGCACCAGTCAACAGACGTCATATAATGATAATTCAACAATTCACCTCTTACCCACTAATTATGCATCTCCCGTGTCTCAAAAGAGCCATGGACTGTTTCATTTATAATGTTCAACTTTAGTTTATTATAAATGAAACAGGTTTATTAATTACTGTGTTTACAAAGAATATTGCAGTACTACCACATTCCTGAGTAATAAATTTTAGAATTTTACTGGATTTTTAGAGCTAATTTCAAAGTTCTAGAAGTTGTGGGTTATCAGGATTACTGTTTGTTTCATAGTTTACTGTTTCATCATAGATTTGTGATGTTGCAGGGAGGGAGGGAGGGGCATCTGGGGGTACTTGAAACCACAGGATTTTCAGATGTAGGCTTACTGCTGTGACATACATTCTTCTTGGCTATATTTTTAACCATTTTATCCAGGCAAAGTTGGTGCATATGCCATGATCTTTCCATGAGTAATTTTTCATGCCTCAAAAATATGTTGTTCAAAGATACGTTGTCTTAGTCCTTTGATTAATTCCAGTGGCTAGAACAAGCTTCCCAAATTCATCCTATTTTGTCTGTCGTGGCTTATGAACCATTTTTCTCTACACTAAGCATGGAAATTCCCTGACAGTTCTTTAACCTTTGCATCCATTCTTCATTATAGCCACATTTTGTCATAAGTAGTTGACAAAGCAATACCACAGACATCACACAGCTTCTGCAAGGAAACACTATGCTCCAGTTTTTTCATCATTACTTCATCTTGTATTGACATGGACTGACACCTTCACTAATACTTGCATCTTTCTTAGAAGTTATAACTAGGGTTAAATGTAAGCAAAATAAACTAAGAATCACACAAAATCAACTACATAGTAAACAGTATAAGTGAATGTGCACTACATACAATGCCATCTGTGGTTTCCCAGTAAACTAGTTTGGTGGTTACAGGGATATCAAGTGACCTCATAATTTTGTCCAGACTAAAAGAAGTGTTAGATCATCAGTTCCTGGAAAATCAGTGGTGTACCTGTATAATAATAATAATAATTGGGAAGACATTACTCCATTGTAAAAAATAATAGTTTTGCATGAGCCATAAAAATGATTTTTCTGTATGTATTAAATTAGCCTTGCACAAGGTATAATTTATTTGCATGGATTTAAGTAAACATTACAGATATTATAGCTTAATTAATCTGAAAATTTTTAATGCTTGTAAAATGTCATTTTCATACATTGGACTTATTTTTGTATGTGCAGGTGGCAGTGCAGAAAAGCTTAATGAAGAGAATTATAAAATGCTGGTGTCTAATAACTATCTCTTAGTCAAAATTCGTGCAGAGAAATCGAGTTCTTCCAAAAATGACCTCTACAATACTGCAGAACGTGAGTTTACCTCAGAATTATTCTTTTAATAAACAATCTTTAGAAAAATATTGATATGCTCTTTTTTTTTTTGGAGAATAAGTTTTGTTATTTGGTTAATAGCAACTGCAGATTTGCAAATTCATATTTTAATTACTTGAGGCACAATGGCGACCTTCAATAAAAATGGCCTTTACACAAATGCATAAAAATAATAATTTTTTTTTTCAACACCTTGGCCGTTTCCCACCATGGCAGGGTGACTCAAAAAAGGAAGCATGTAAACATCATATTTCAGATGACCCTCTGATCTGCAGTATCCACACTCCTTCAGAGTGCAGGCACTGTACCTTCCATCTCCAGGTCTAGTCTGGCTAAGCAGTTTACCTGAGTCCCTTCATAATTGTTATCTTACACTCCTACAGTACGTCAAACTACTTATCTCCACTCTGATCTAACGTGCTCACACATGCCTTTTGGATGCTCAGGCCCCTATAACTTGAAACCTCTTTCACACACACCATCCAACTCTTCCTGGAATTACCCCAACTTCTCCCTTCCATCCCAGACTTAAAAATCCTTTTTGTTGTCATATTCTGCTCAATCCTCTCAAAATGCTCCAGTCACTTCAGTAACCCCTCCTTTGCCCTCTGAATTATACTTTTTGTAACCCCAGTACCATCTTCTAATTTCAATGTTCCAGACTCTGCACAATATTCACTCCACACAATTTATTGAAATTTAATGACATTAACAGTGGAATTTAACCAAATTATCCAGTAACAGATGGGACAAATAACACTATTTGACTTTACTGGGTTATCTTAGGTTCAATGTATATAGTTTGCTTCTATATGTGCCCTCAAGACTGTTTTAAGAAATATTGGTATTTTATGTATACAAAATTTGAATAAAACTTATAATTCTAATTAACTTAATTATTTCCAGTCTTCTTTTGATGAACTTATGAAGATTATTGTGGCTCAGACAAACTATTACCAGTACACATTGGTTAATGCAGTTATTTCAGCTACGACAGAGAAGAATGCTGTTGCAGTCTTTGCAACACTAATGCTAAATGCTCAAAAAAAATAATATATTCTCATCCTTTATGGTACTACAGTGCCTTGAAACACATCTAATATAAAAAACTATTGTACATAGTGTTAGAGTTTATAGACAAAAAATAAATGAACACCATCATAATTTTATTATTTAATTGTACCTCCGTGGCTTGGTAAAGGGATACACGTGTAGCTAATGTGACATTTTATTGTGGCAACGTTTCGCTCTCCAGAAGCTTTGTCAGGCCTTACCTGTACCTTTGGTAATGGCTTGACAAAGCTCCTGGAGAGTAATGTTGCCACAATAAAATGTCACATTAGTTACACAAGTGTCCTTTTACCTAACATACTGTTGGTACTTCTACCTTTATTACTACCTCCGTGACATTCACAATGCTCTAGTCACCGAGTGATCATTTTTCACCAACTTCAGCATGCCATAAATCCATTGGGTTTCTTTGATTTCCTTTCTCTTTTCTTAGTTCTCTTCAGAAAAATATGCTGTTTCCAACTGGGATTTTTTTTTTTCTAAAATTTTGCCAAACAAGAATTAAAAATGTGTGACCTCCCATAGTTAAAGGGTTAAAAACCTTTATTTTGAACCCCATTAAATATTTGGTCATACTCCTAGATGTGTGAAATGGGTCAGTTTTTTATTAAGGATATCTATTTGTAAAATGAAAGGGGGTAAAGCAGCTGGAACTGATGGGATCATGACAGAAATGTTAAAAGCAGGGGGGGATATAGTGTTGGAGTGGTTGGTACTTTTGTTCAATAAATGTATGAAAGTGGGGAAGATACCTAGGGATTGGCGGAGAGCATGTATAGTCCCTTTATATAAAGGGAAAGGGGACAAAAGAGACTGTAAAAATTATAGAGGAATAAGCTTACTGAGTATACCAGGAAAAGTGTACGGTAGGGTTATAATTGAAAGAATTAGAGGTAAGACAGAATGTAGGATTGCGGATGAGCAAGGAGGTTTCAGAGTGGGTAGGGGATGTGTAGATCAAGTGTTTACATTGAAGCATATATGTGAACAGTATTTAGATAAAGGTAGGGAAGTTTTTATTGCATTTATGGATTTAGAAAAGGCATATGATAGAGTGGATAGAGGAGCAATGTGGCAGATGTTGCAAGTATATGGAATAGGTGGTAAGTTATTAAATGCTGTAAAGAGTTTTTATGAGGATAGTGAGGCTCAGGTTAGGGTGTGTAGAAGAGAGGGAGACTATTTCCCGGTAAAAGTAGGTCTTAGACAGGGATGTGTAATGTCACCATGGTTGTTTAATATATTTATAGATGGGGTTGTAAAGGAAGTAAATGCTAGGGTGTTCGGGAGAGGGGTGGGATTAAATTTTGGGGAATCAAATTCAAAATGGGAATTGACACAGTTACTTTTTGCTGATGATACTGTGCTTATGGGAGATTCTAAAGAAAAATTGCAAAGGTTAGTGGATGAGTTTGGGAATGTGTGTAAAGGTAGAAAGCTGAAAGTGAACATAGAAAAGAGTAAGGTGATGAGGGTGTCAAATGATTTAGATAAAGAAAAATTGGATATCAAATTGGGAGGAGGAGTATGGAAGAAGTGAATGTTTTCAGATACTTGGGAGTTGACGTGTCGGCGGATGGATTTATGAAGGATGAGGTTAATCATAGAATTGATGAGGGAAAAAAGGTGAGTGGTGCGTTGAGGTATATGTGGAGTCAAAAAACGTTATCTATGGAGGCAAAGAAGGGAATGTATGAAAGTATAGTAGTACCAACACTTTTATATGGGTGCGAAGCTTGGGTGGTAAATGCAGCAGCGAGGAGACGGTTGGAGGCAGTGGAGATGTCCTGTTTAAGGGCAATGTGTGGTGTAAATATTATGCAGAAAATTCGGAGTGTGGAAATTAGGAGAAGGTGTGGAGTTAATAAAAGTATTAGTCAGAGGGCAGAAGAGGGGTTGTTGAGGTGGTTTGGTCATTTAGAGAGAATGGATCAAAGTAGAATGACATGGAAAGCATATAAATCTATAGGGAAGGAAGGCGGGGTAGGGTCGTCCTCGAAAGGGTTGGAGAGAGGGGGTAAAGGAGGTTTTGTGGGCGAGGGGCTTGGACTTCCAGCAAGCGTGCGTGAGCGTGTTAGATAGGAGTGAATGGAGACGAATGGTACTTGGGACCTGACGATCTGTTGGAGTGTGAGCAGGGTAATATTTAGTGAAGGGATTCAGGAAACGGTTATTTTCATATAGTCGGACTTGAGTCCTGGAAATGGGAAGTACAATGCCTGCACTTTAAAGGAGGGGTTTGGGATATTGGCAGTTTGGAGGGATATGTTGTGTATCTTTATATGTGTATGCTTCTAGACTGTTGTATTCTGAGCACCTCTGCAAAAACAGTGATAATGTGTGAGTGTGGTGAAAGTGTTGAATGATGATGAAAGTATTTTCTTTTTGGGGATTTTCTTTCTTTTTTGGGTCACCCTGCCTCGGTGGGAGACGGCCGACTTGTTGAAAAAAAAAAAAAAAAAATCTATTTGTCACCAAGCTTGAGGTTCTTGGTAGAGGCAGTGGCTTATTATCTAACATGGTCTATATGTCCAAACAGATATAATACTGGTCCGTATGTCCATACAGATATACCCCTTGTCTTCATGTCTATACAAATAAACCCCCTATCTTCATATCCCTGCAGATATACCCCTTGCCTTCATGTCTGTACAGATAGATCCTTGACCTTCATGTCCCTAAAGATATACCCTGATTTTAATGTCCATACAGATACACTTCTTATTCTTTTTAGTAATTATTACAGGAAAACGGGTTACTAGCCTATTGTTCCCAACATTTTAGTTAACTTTTATAACACGCATGGCTTACGGAGGAAAGATTAAAGGGTTTGTTGAGGTGGTTTGGTCATTTAGAGAGAATGGATCGAAGTAGAATGACATGGAGAGTGTATAAATCTGTAAGGGAAGGAAGGCGGGGTAGGGGTCGTCCTCGAAAAGGTTGGAGGGAGGGGGTAAAGGAGGTGTTGTGGGCAAGGGGTTTGGACTTCCAGCAAGCGTGCGTGAGCGTGTTAGATAGGAGTGAATGGAGACAAATGGTATTCGGGACCTGACAAGCTGTTGGAGTGTGTGCAGGGTAATATTTAGTGAAGGGATTCAGGGAAACCGGTTATTTTATATAACTGGACTTGAGTCCTGGAAATGGGAAGTACAGTGCCTGCACTTTAAAGGAGGGGTTTGAGATATTTGCAGTTTGGAGGGATATACGTATTGTGTATTTTTATACATATTTACTTCTATACTGTTGTATTCTGGGCACCTCTGCAAAAACAGTGATTATGTGTGAGTGAGGTGAAAGCGTTGAATGATGATGAAAGTATTTTCTTTTTGGGGGATTTTCTTTCTTTTTGGGTCACCCTGCCTTGGTGGGAGATGGCCGACAGATACACTACTGGTCCATATGTCCACACGAGGAGTTTGTGTTTCATCCAATAAGAAATGTGGTCTCAGTCAACGTCAGAATCGTTCACATGCCTCTTGCTGAATTTATGGCTTTTCTTTTCATGCCATGTCTACAGGAAAGTTTTCTGCACTTTCTGGTAATTCACACTTTTTTTATGCTGTGTCTTCAGGTAAGGCTTCTGCACAGCCCTTGTCAGATACAGTACTACATTATGAAACATTGTATAGTATCCTGATGATACCAGAGTTGCCTTTATATTCCCAGTGGTCATATTGGGTCTAAGGTAGCTTTTTGAGTCTTCTGAGACTCTTGTCTGACTGCATATCTGGGTTAAACTTTGCTGCTTCATCTTTCCAATAGGGTAACCATCCTAATTGCATTGAACTTCTTAATGAAGGACACTGCAGTCAACACTGGATTGTTCATTGTCTTTACAATTTTATAGTGAACTACAGATTTATGGAGATCAGTAACTTTTCACTGACATCTTTGGATAATTCCTTGATAGCAGGATTAATTATGTATACTCTCCTCTGTTATGCTCTGTGATATGCTGAGTGTAAAAGTAGGCCTTAAACAGGGATGTGTGATGTCACCATGGTTGTAAAGCATATTTATAGATGGGGTTGTAAAAGAAGTGAATACTAGGGTGTTGGGAAGAGGTGTAGGGTTAAATGATGAAGAATCTAATGCAAAGTGGGAGTTGTCACAGTTGCTTTTTGCAAATGACATGGTGCTTTTGGAAGATTCTAAAGAATAGAAGCAAATGTTGTTGAACAAATTTGGGAGAATATTTAACCCCTTGACTGTCGCAACCCCAAATCCTGAGGTGTCTCCTGGTGTCGCAAAAAATCCCCCCCCAATTATTTTTTCTTATGAAATGATTGAGAATCTTTTCCTGATTGTAATGACACCAAAAGAACGAAATTTGATGGAAAACTGACGGAATTACGCTCTCGCGAAGTTAGCGACCTTGGCGATATTTACGAATTGGCGATTTCGTCCACTTTGAGCCCTATTTTTGGCTAATTCCATTGTTCCAGTCGACCAAACTCATAGCTATTTCTTTAGAACTCCATTTTTTCTATCGATTGAGTACAATAAACTACCCATTTACCAATTTCAACTACCCAATAACATGGTCAGAAATTTGCAGTTTGGCCAATTTCACAAAAAAAAAAATATGCCAATTTCAAAATAGGGTCCAAAATGAACAATGCAGACATTCCTGGCTCTAAAATAATATTTTCTTTGTTCATCAGTCATGTCTCCAGGCCCCTCTGATATTACTCTTGCTTTCTATTTTGAATTTTTATTCAAATAAAAAATAGAAGATTTACTGCAATATTGTAATAATTGTATATATAATGTCAACCCATTCATGACTGCATATTAGATTGGCTACTTGGACATTCATTGGAAAATGACATCATTTGTTTACTTTTGAACACCGGCAAAAATCAAACATTTCCCCTACTTTGAGCTCTATTTCAAGGTTCTTTTCATAGAAAAACCAATCAAAATCACCTCTATTTCTATAATATGTTTTCCATACTATCAAATGAGACCAAGAAAACGAGAATACAACTATAAATACTATACGAAAATAGACCACGTCGGAGTTTTTTTTTCTCATTGTGCACTGCATGCTGCAAGATTTTTTTTATATGGTGCACACTGACCACACAGACCGATTCTGTCACATGTGGGCCTACCAGCTTTCTCCTGCTTGATTTGAAGCTGCTAGAATTTATGAGTATATATACGTCAAAAACGGTGGCTCGTAAGACGTATATATACGACCGAAACAGTCAAAGGGTTAAAAGAAAAGGAGGGGTTTGGGATATTGGCTGTTTGGAGTGACATCTAAACTGTCATATCTGGGCACCTCTGCAAAGACAGTGATATTGTGTGAATGATGGCGAAAGTGTTGAATGAAGGAGAAAGTGTTTCTTTTTTGGGTCACCCTGCCTCAGTGGGAGACAGCCAACGTGTTAAAAAAAATATTAAAAGTGAAGATAGGCAAGAGCAAGGAGATGAGGGTAACTAAAAGAAATTAGGTAAAGAAAGATTTGATATCAGATGATTAGGAGGGAGTATGGAGGAAGTGAATGTGTTCAGACATTTGGAAATAGACTCGTAAGCAGATGGGTCTATGAAAGATGAGGTGAACCATAGAATTGACAAGAGCAAAAAAGTAGGTGGTGCATTGAGGCATCTGTGGAGACAAAGAATGTTGTCCATGATGACAAAAAGGTGAATGTATGAGAGTATAGTGGTGTCAACATTCTTATATGAGTGTGAAGCATGGGTTGTGAATGTTGCAGCAAGGAGGAGGCAATGGAGATGTGTCTGAGGGCAATGTGTGGTGTGAATATTATACAGAGAATTTAAAGTTTGGAGATCAGAAGGAGGTGCGGGGTTACTAAAAGAATTATCTATAGAGCTGAGGAGGGGTCGTTGAGGTGATTTGGATATTTAGAGAGAATGAAGCAAAATAGGATGACTTGGAGGGTGTATAAATCTGTAATGGAGGGAAAGCATGGTAAGGGTCATTCTAGGAAAGGTTGGAGGGAGTAAATGAGGTTTTGTATGTGAAGGGTTAAGACATCCAACAAGCATATGTGAACATGTTAGATAAAAGTGAGTGGCACTAAGTGGTTTTTATGGGGATTCAGAGAAACCAGTTAGCTGGACTTGAGTCCTGGAGGTGGAAAGTAGAGTGCCTGTACTCTAAAGGAGGGGTGAGGATATTGTATTTCTGGAGGGGCATTTGAACTGTAATATTGATGCAACTCTGGTAAGACAGTGATGGAGTGAGTGATGGTGAAAGTGTTTCTCCTTTTTCGGGTCTTCATCTTTCTTCTTTCAACAAACCAGCCATTTCCCACCAAGGCAAGGTGGCTCAAGAGGAAAAACGAAAGTTTCTGTTTTTAAATTTAGTAGTATATATACAGGAGAAGGGGTTACTAGCCCCTTGCTCCCTCGGGTCTCCATATCTAAGGAAAAATCTTTCAAAGGTCTCGGATATCATTCTGTTTTTAACAGTACCATTTTATTAATGGTAAATGTGAAGGGATTCAGGTAAACCGGTTATTTTTTTTATATAGCCAGACTTGAGTCCTGGAAATGGGAAGTACAATGCCTGCACTCTAAAGGAGGGGTTTGGGATATTAGCAGTTTGGAGGGATATGTTGTGTATCTTTATACGTATATGCTTCTAAACTGTTGTGTTCTGAGCACCTCTGCAAAAACAGTGATTATGTGTGAGTGAGGTGAAAGTGTTGAATGATGATGAAAGTATTTTCTTTTTGGGGATTTTCTTTCTTTTTGGGTCACCCTGCCTCGGTGGGAGACGGCCGACTTGTTGAAAAAAAAAAAATGTAAACTGCTCAAAATGCATTGTACCATACTATAATCACTGAAACATTGTTAGAAAACATCATTTGCAAATATGTATCTCAGAGTTTATTACAATTTAAATTATAATTTTGCTTGTATACTACCTCGTATGTTTTTTCAGAATTACTAAGTGATAATAGACTGCGTGCTATCCCTGAGTCAGACATTGGTTTGGCTATTCTGTACATGGACACAAGTGGTCATTGCAATCCAGCCTTCAAGGTTTCCAGTATCCTTCGACCCGGAGGCTCATCTGCATCGGAAATTACTGAGGTGAGCTCATGTGATACTGTATCAATTTTTAGTCACATAGTAAAAGCTGGAGAGGAAACCGTGGATAACATTTCAGTCCATCTTGAACTATTATCAAATCATGACTTAATAATGGTCCAGGATGGACTGCAGTGTATTATGCAATTGAAAGCATGTGGGATACAACCATGTTGTTATATGAGCGTTACTTCCAGAAATTTCAGACAACTATTTCTTGGTATGCTTTAACATGCTTTTAATTTTTTATACCCATGTAAAATCAAGGCTGATTTTTTGGTTAAAAAAAAATATTCCAAACTATAGTACAATTTTGCTTTACCTCTTTTTCAGTTTTAGGGATAGATCCAAAAATTGTCTGTTAATGTTACAATCATTTTTTTTTTTCTCTCTCATTAAGTCGGCCGTCTCCCATCGAGGCAGGGTGACCCAAAAAAGAAAGAAAATCCCCAAAAAGAAAATATTTTCATCGTCATTCAACACTTTAACCTCACTCACATATAATCACTGTTTTTGCAGAGGTGCTCAGAATACAACAGTTTAGAAGCATATACGTATAAAGATACACAACATATCCCTTCAAACTGCCAGTATCCCAAACCCCTCCTTTAAAGTGCAGCAGGCATTGTACTTCCCATTTCCAGGACTCAAGTCCAGCTATATAAAAATAACCAGTTTCCCTGAATTTTTTTTTTTTTTTTTTTTTTTTTCAACAAGTCGGCCGTCTCCCACCGAGGCAGGGTGACCCAAAAAAGAAAGAAAATCCCCAAAAAGAAAATACTTTCATCATCATTCAACACTTTCACCACACTCGCACATTATCATTGTTTTTTCCCTGAATCCCTTCACTAAATATTACCCTGCTCACACTCCAACAGCTCATCAGGTCCCAAATACCATTCATCTCCATTCACTCCTATCTAACACGCTAATGCACGCTTGCTGGAAGTCCAAGTCCCTTCCCCAAAAAACCTCCTTTACCTCCTCCCTCCAACCTTTTCAAGGACGACCCCTTCCCCGCCTTCCTTCCCCTACAGATTTAAATGCTCTCCATGTCATTCTACTTTGATCCATTCTCTCTAAATGACCAAACCACCTCAACAACCCATCTTCAGCCCTCTGACTAATACTTTTATTAACTCCACACCTTTTCCTAATTTCCACACTCCGAATTTTCTGCATAATATTCACACCACACATTGCCCTTAGACAGGACATCTCCACTGCTTCCAACTACCCCCTCGCTGCTGCATTTACAACCCAAGCTTCACAACCATATAAGAGTGTTGGTACTGCTATCATACATTTCCTTCTTTGCCTCCATAGATAACATTTTTTGTCTCCACATACCTCAATGCATTACTCACCTTGTTTCCTTTATCAATTCTGTGATTAACCTTGTCCTTCATAAATCCATCTGCTGACATGTCAACTCCCAAATATCTGAAAACATTCACTTCTTCCACACTCCTAATTCCCAATTTGATATCAAAATTTTCTTTATCTAAATCATTTGATACCCTCATCACCTTACTCTTTTCTATGTTCACTTCAAACTTTCTGCCTTTACACACACTCCCAAATTCGTCCGCTAACCTTTGCAATTTTTCTTAAGAATCTCCCATAAGCAAAGTATCATCAGCAAAAAGTAACTGTGTCAATTCCCATTTTGTATTTGATTCCCCATAATTTAATCCTACCCCTCTCCCTAACACCCTAGCATTTACTTCTTTTAATACCCCATTTATAAATATATTAAACAACCATGGTGACATTACACATCCCTGTCTAAGACCTACTTTTACCGGGAAATAGTCTCCCTCTCTTCTACACATCCTAACCTGAGCCTCACTATCCTCATAAAAACTCCTTACAGCATTTAGTAACTTACTACCTATTCCATATACTTGCAACATCTGCCACATTGCTCCCCTATCCACTCTATCATATCCCTTTTCTAAATCCATAAATGCAATAAAAACTCTCCTACCTTTATCAAAATTCTGTTCACATATATGTTTCAATGTAAACACTTGATCTACACATCCCCTACCCACTCTGAAACCTCCTTGCTCATCTGCAATCCTATATTCTGTCTTACCTCTAATTCTTTCAATAATAACCCTACCGTACACTTTTCCTGGTATACTCAGTAAACTTATCCCTCTATAATTTTTACAATCTCTTTTGTCCCCCTTCCTATTATATAAAGGGACTATACATGCTCTCTGCCAATCCCTAGGTACCTTCCCCTCATTCATACAATTTTTTTTTTTTCAACAAACCGGCCGTATCCCACCGAGGCAGGGTATCCCACCTTGCCTCGATGGGATACGGCCCTGCCTCGGTGGGATATGGCCCTGCCTCAGTGGGATACGGCCCTGCCTCGGTGGGATACGGCCCTGCCTCGGTGGGATACGGCATTTTAGTTGCCTCTTAAAACACGCATGGCTTATGGAGGAAGAATTCTGTTCCACTTCTCCATGGAGATAACAAGAAATAAACAAAAACAAGACTAGTAAGAAAATATAAGAAAACCCAGAGGGATGTGTATATATATATACACCTACCATCCGACTTACGACCTGCTCGACTTACGATCACTCGACTTACGACCGTGTTTTTTATGCCAAATTTCTGGGAAATAAACAACTATTTGTGTTGTACACAGTGTTTATCCTAAAGCTTACAGTATAAAATACAGTACTAACAACATAAAAAGTAAAGTAAAACATGAAATACCAAAATAAAACAAAATAAAGTCATTACAAAAATGTTTTGTTGATATTCAGTAGTAAAGTTTGACTTATGACCATTTCGACTTACAACCGGTTTCTCGGAACCGAACTCGGTCGTAAATCGGATGGTAGGTGTATATGTTTGTACATGTATGTGTAGTGTGTCCCAAGTGTAAGAAGAAGTAGCAAGACGTACCTGAAATCTTGCATGTTTATGAGACAGAAAAATAAGACACCAGCAATACTACCATCATGTAAAACAATTACAGGCTTTCGTTTTACACTCACTTGGCAGGACAGTAGTACCTCCCTGGGCGGTTGCTGTCTACCAACCTACTACCTAGGTTTCATACATTTATTAAACAAAAATACCAACCACTCCAAAACTATATCCCTCCCTGCTTTTAACATTTCTGTCATGATCCTGTCAGTTCCAGCTGCTTTACCCCCTTTCATTCTATGTAATGCCTCACGCACCTCCCCCACACTCAAATCCTGCTCTTCTTCACTCCTACAAGATGGTATACCTCCCTGCATAGTGCATGAAATTACTGCCTCCCTCTCTTCGTCGATGTTTAAAAGTTCCTCAAAATATTCTCGCCATGTACCCAATATCTCCATCTCCCCATCTACTAACTCCCCTACTCTGTTTTTAACTGACAAATCCATTCGTTCCCTAGGCTTTCTTAACTTGTTTAACTCACTCCAAATTTTTTTCTTATTTTCATTAAAATTTCTTGACAGTGCCTCTCCCACTCTATCATCTGCTCTTCTTTTGCACTGTCTCACCACTCTCTTCACCTTTCTTTTACTCTCCATGTACTCTACTCTTCGTATAACACTTCTGCTTTGTAAAAACCTTTTTCTCTTTTATTACACCCTTTACTTCATCATTCCACCAATCACTCCTCTTTCCTCCTGCACCCACCCTCCTATAACCACAAACTTCTGCCCCACATTCTAATACTGCATTTTTAAAACTATTCAAACCCTCTTCAACCCCCACATTACTTATACTTACACCAGGCCACCTTACTGCCAATAGTTGCTTATATCTTACCCGAACTTCCTCCTCCCTTAGTTTATATACTTTCACCTCCCTCTTACTTGTTGTTGTCATTTTCCTCTTGTCCCATCTACCTCTTACTCTAACTGTAGCTACAACTAAATAATGATCCGATATTTCAGTTGCCCCTCTATAAACGTGTACATCCTGGAGCCTACCCATCAATCGTTTATCCACCAATGCATAATCTAATAAACTAGTTTCATTATGTGCTATATCATACCTTGTATATTTATCCTCTTTTTTATAAAATATGTATTACACATTACTAAACCTCTTTCTACACAGCTCATTTAAAGGCTCCCCATTTTCATTTACCCCTGGCACCCCAAATTTACCTACTACTCCCTCCACACCCCTCAAGGAAGGTTCCTTGATGTTGGTGAGGGGCTCTTGATTTAGGGAATTGGATCTGTGCTCCAGTTCCCCAAATTAAGCCTGAATGCCTTCCACATCCCCCCCCCAGGCGCTGTATAATCCTCCGGGTTTAGCGCTTCCCCCTTGATTGTAATAATAATAATACTCCCTCCACAACATTTTTACCCACTTTAGCATTGAAATCCCCAACCACAAGTACTCTCACACTTGGTTCTAAACTCCCCACACATTCACTCAACATTTCCCAAAATCTCTCTCTCTCCTCTACACTTCTCTCTTCCCCAGGTGCATATACGTTTACTATAACCCACTTTTCACATCCAACCTTTATTTTACTCCACATAATCCTTGAATTTATACATTTATAGTCAGTACAGCCCCTCCTCACTTAGCGATGTACTTGTTTACCAGCACCTCAGACTTACAATGGGTTTTCTGACCAGTATTCATATCTAAATAATGTATATTAGAGCTGATTTCCTCTATTCTGTTTATTTCAATATATAGTACACCACTGTATAAACATTTAAAAATATACCAGAAATGTTATAAATGGTGCAAAGGTGACATTAAAACAATATCAGAGATGGTTGACACAAACTCAGTACCATTATAGTATGCTCCTCACTTAGTGACGAATTCGTTTAACCCATAAACGATCCAAACATATATATACGTTTTTTCAACATCTGAAAGTATGTAAAAAAATGTAGATAATCTTTTTTGTTTTACATTTGAAAACGTGTAAAAAAACTTTTATCTACAATTTTTTTTTGTTATATTTGAAAATATGTAAAAAAAGTAGATCTACTTTTGTAGCACTACGAATTTGAATGTCGATCTGTTTGGACCGTTTTAAGGGTTAACGACGTGGTCTCAGGAATGGAACTCCGTCGTTAAGTGAGGAGAGGCTGTGTTAGCGAACAGCCCCTCACCCATATTATTCTGTTAAATCTAGAATTTACTACCATCATTGGTGTGACTTATCTTGTTTTGAAAGTCTTATCACCCAGCCTATCATTTTCCTGGCATTTGTTTCATTTGTATTATTGTGTTCAAATAACAGTAAATAATTTTACTTCATTATTCCTCTATCTTTTACATAATCTTTTCTATCTGAGATAATCTGACTGTGGTTTTTTAGCTGTACTTGTTCAGGAGTTTCACTTGGAATTTTTTGCTGTTGAATATTGTGGTATTTTTCTTAGTCCAGTAAAAGATTTTGCTGATATCGTTTTCTGGACTTCTGCTGAGGCAGCTTTCCTCTGTGAGACCCCTAGGGCCCAGGCTGCAACAATAGAAGAACCCTCCAGACTGGCCACAGATTTGTTATAGGTCCTACCTGGAATATTCCACACCTGAAAGTGAATAGTATGGTGATGTAGTAAAAAGATACTTCTATACAGTTCAGGAAGTTGAAGGAAGAAGCCATGCATGGCAAAACATTTCTTTATGTCCTGTGTCTTTTATCATATTCCACACATATTCCATGCCTAATACCTACTTTTCTTATCCCTGGTATGGTCTAATACATGATGATGTACCATGTGGGGCCTCCTTAACTTCCACTTGACTATCATGCACTGACACTCAAGGACTTGTGCACATGCCCTGCTCCTGTCATCAACTGTTTCCCATTGTTCCAATATCTCCCTCTTCCATATTTTTGGGCCAGGGTTTTTGTTATTTGATTTAGGAACGAGTTCTATGCAAGCTACCTATGAGGTGGCTACTCCTTGGCACTTTCGGTGTCTTCTCATAATATAATCCATTTGCGGATATGTAAAGGTCAGGTCCCTAATCTGGATATAGTAGTAAACTGGCATCTTCCCATAATGAGAATTATAAGAGGAAGTGTAGAATAAACATAATGAAAAGTATGGGTGCCTAAATCATACTTTGAGAACATTGTTACACTTCTCCCTTCTGCTAGCAGATACTGTGTTAAGAGATACAGCACTGCCAAAAGAAAGATAAAAGTCTTCAATAGAGAACTAGACAAGGCCATGGAGAACATGCCTGATCAGCCGAGTTGTGAGGGCTTAAGGTAGCAATAGCCTCTCTGAAGAAGTCAGGTTGCAAAACAAGCTTTTACTAGTCCCACATCTTACTTTGTGTAGAGCTTCATCATGTTAGACAAAAGGTGTGACTTAATTCATACAGCTCTACACAGAATGAAACACTGTCCAAATGAAAACATATTCTGTATCTGTATCTTCACTATTGTTACCAGTGTGACATTTGGATGCAGTAGTTTTTCTGCTAGCTAATTAGGCATTTGCCAGGGAAACCTAGCCTCAGGCCAGGCTGCAAAAGAGAATGAAGCTCAGAATTGGTCACAAGTATATTTGTAAAAATATTAATTGGTAAAAAAAAAAATTTACTTGACTACTTTCCAGAATTAATTACTCTGTGAGCTTTAGAGTATTAATTCTATCAATAACTTGTTACTCTTTATGCCAGGGTTTACAGATATACGCCACCGAGACCCAGGACACGGAGGAGAACCCGGTGAGCTGGACGGGCACTCGAGTGGTGCCTGAGACTGGTCAATCATCAGCTTCCAGAAGACCTTCTTGCACAGCAGCTACCTCCAATTGCTCACCTGTATCCAGTAACACCTCAACATCTACCAGTACCAATGTGACATTCTTACCTACATTAGGCCAGTCACTGCCATCTTTAACTGGTATTGAAGACAAAGAAAACTTTTTAAATAGTACAAAGAAAAGGTAAGTCTTAATTAAGAAAATGATAATTTTTTAATGCTTGTAGAATTAATGTATTTTTTCTTGATGACCTGGGATAACAGGTGTAAGGAGATAAGTTGGGGAGACGTAATACATCGTGGGGTGGAGTATAGTATGAGAAATGGAATACAGTTTGCAGGATGGTGCATAGTGTGGTGGTAAAGTATGATGTTTTAGTGGAGTACAGTATGGGGCTGTAATATAGTAAGAAAGGGGAGGTGGAGAGCAAATGTAAATTTTTGTGTTAGATATAAGAGAGGAATGGAGGTAAGAAAATAGGAGAGATGGAATGGGAGGGAGGAGAAGAGAGAGAGAGAGATTCTCATGAGTACTGAATATATTTTTAATTTTGTCATTAAAAACCTAAATGAAATACAGAATATTATAGCTCAAAAATGCATCTTCGATTATAACATGGGTATCTATGGGAAATTGTGTTTTTAGTTCCAAAAATTTTCAGCAATACATTAACTTCTTGATGAGAGACTTACCGTATTGTATTCTGATTTTCAGAAATGATGTTCAAGTCAATTTTTCTTTTTTCAATTAACCAGCCATATCCCACCAAGGCAGGGTGACCTAAAAAGAACAATGAAAGTTTCTCTTCTTAAATTTAGTAATGTATCCATGAGAAGGGGTTACTGGCCCCTTGCTCCCGGCATTTTAATAGCCTCTTATGACACGCATGGCTTATGGAAGAAGAATTCTGTTCCACTTCCCCATAGAGTTTTCTGTTGTTATTTGGTCAAATATGTTAATACAATGTATGAAAATACTCAGTGACAAAATAGTACTGTACACTGTTGGAAATTTTAGTTATAATAATTGCATAATTTTCTTGTCTGAGGGGAAAAGAGAATGAGAGAAAATGTAAGAATTATCAGGGATAGGGAACGAGAGATAACGTAAAAATTATTGGGGATAAGCCTGTGAAAGGGCAGGGGATGTATTAATCAAGTGTTTATGTTGAAGTATTTAAGTGAGTAATACTTAGATTAGGATAAAGATTTGGTTTTGCATTTATGGATTTAGAAAAGGCATATGATAGGGTAGATAGGCAAAGTGAGACATTGCATTTTAGAAGGTCATTTGAATTCTTAAGATGTCTGCACACTTTTGGCAAGACAGCTATTGAATGAGTATTGGTGAATGTGTCAACTTTTATTTGGGCAGCTTTACCTTTGCGGGAGATAGCCACTGTGTAGAAAATAATAAATATATCTAGTATCATACATACATAATCACTGTCTTTACAGAGGTGCTCAGATACAACAGTTTAGAAGTCCCTCCAAACTGTCAATGTCCCAGACCCCTCCTTTAAAGTGCAGGCATTGTACTTCCCATTTCCAGGACTCAAATCCGGCTAAATTTATAATAATCGGTTTTCCTGAATCCCTTTACTAAATATTACCCTGCTCACACTCCAACAGCTCGTCAAGTCCCAAAAAACATTCGTCTCCATTTACTCCTATCTAACACGCTTGCTGGAAGTCCAAGCCCCTCACCCAAAACCTCCAACCTTTTCAAGGATGACCCCTACCCCTTTTTCCTTTCCCCACAGATTTATACGCTTTCCAAGTCATTCTGCCTTGATTCATTCTTGCTAAATGACCAAACCACCTCAACAATCCCTCTTCAACTCTCTGACTAATACTTTTAGTAACTCCACACCTCCTAATTTCCACACTCCGAATTCTCTGCATAATATTTACACCACACATTGCCCTTAGACGCGACATCTCCACTGCCTCCAGCCACCTCCTTGATGCAGCATTTACAACCCCAGCTTCACACTCAAATAAAGGTGTTGGTACCACTATACTTTCATTCATTCCCTTCTTTGCTTCCATAGATAACATTTTTTGTCAACCTCATCCTTAATAAACCCATCTGCTGACAAGTCAACTCCCAAATACCTGAAAACATTCACTTCTTCCATACTCCCTCTCTCCAATGTGATATCCAATTTTTCTTTATCTAAATCATTTGATACCCTCATCACCTTATTCTTATCTATGTTCACTTTCAACTTTCTACCTTTACGCGCTGTCCCAAACTCGTCTACTAACCTTTGCAACTTTTCTTTAGAATCTCCCATAAGCACAGTATCATCAGCAAAAAATAACTGTGTCAACTCCCATTTTGTACTTGATTCCCCATAATTTAATCCCACTCCTCTCACCAGCACCCTACCAATTACTTCTTTTACAACCCCATCTATAAATATATTAAACAACCATAGTGACATTATACATCCCTGTCTAAGACCTACTTTTACCGGGAAGTAATCCCCCTCTCTCCTACACACCCTAACCTGAGCCTCACTATCCTCATAAAAACTCTTTACAGCATTTAGTAACTTACTACCTATTCCATACACTTGCAACATCTGCCACATTACTCACCTATCCACTCAATCATATGCCTTTTCTAAATCCATAAATGCAATGAAAACTTCCCTAACTTTATCCACATACTGTTCACATGTATGCTTCAATGTGAACACTTGATCTACACATCCCCTACCCACTCTAAAACCTCCTTGCTCATCTGCAATCATACTCTTTGTCTTACCTCTAATTCTTTCAATAATAACCCTACCATACACTTTACCTGGTATACTCAGTAAACTTTTTTTTTTTTCAACAAGTTGGCCTTCTCCCACCGAGGCAGGGTGACCCAGAAAGAAAGAAAATCCCCAAAAGAAAATGCTTTCATCATCATTCAACACTTTCACCTCACTCATACATAATCACTGTTTTTGCAGAGGTGCCCAGAACACAACAGTTTAGAAGCATATACGTATAAAGATACACAATATATCCCTCCAAACTGCGAATATCCCAAACCCCTCCTTTAAAATGTAGGCATTGTACTTCCCATTTCCAGTACTTGAGTCCGGTTATATAAAAATAACTGGTTTCCCTGAATCCCTTCTCTAAATATTACCCTGCTCACACTCCAACAGCTTGTCAGGTCTCAGCAAACTTGTTCCCCTATAATTTTTACAATCTCTTTGTCTCCCTTCCCTTTATATAAAGGAACTATACACATTCACTGCCAATCCCTAGGTACCTTCCCCTCTTTCATACATTTATTAAACAAAAATACCAACCACTCTAACACAATATCACCTCCTGCTTTTAATATTTCTGTCATGATCCTGTCAGTTTCTACTGCTTTACCCCGTTTCATTCTGTGTAATGCCTCACACACCTCCCCCACACTCACATCCTGCTTTTCTTCACTCCTAAAAGATGTTATACCTCCCTGACCAATGCATGAAATTACCGCCTCCCTTTTGTCATCAACATTTAAAAGTTCCTCAAAATATTCCCGCCATCTACCCAATACCTCCAACTCCCCATCTTCTAACTGCCCTACTCTGTTTTTAACTGACAAATCCATTCATTCCCTAGGCTTTCTTAATTTGTTTATCTCCAAAACTTTTTCTTATTTTCAGCAAAATTTCTTGCCAGTGCCTCTCCCACTCTTTCATCTGCTCTCCTTTTGCACTCTCTCACCACTTTCTTCATCTTTCTTTTATTCTCCATATACTCTGCTCTTCTTACAACACTTCTGCTTTTTGAAAACCTCTCATAAGCTACCTTTTTCCCTTTTATCATACCTGTTACTTCATCATTCCACCAATCACTCCTCTTTCCTCCTGCACCCACCCCTCCTCCACCCACAAACTTCTGCCCCACATTCTTCAACACCCTCACTACTCATACTTGCATTAGCCCACCTTTCTGCCAATACAGTGGACCCCCGGTTTACGATATTATTCATTCCAGAAGTATGTTCAGGTGCCAGTACTGACCGAATTTGTTCCCATAAGGAATATTGTGAATTAGATTAGTCCATTTCAGACCCCCAAACATACACATACAAACGCACTTACATAAATACACTTACATAATTGGTCGCATTGGGAGCTGATCGTAAACCGGGGGTCCACTGTAGTTGTTTATATCTCACCCTAACTTCCTCCTCCCTTAGTTTATACACTTTCACCTCTCTCTTACTTGCTGTTGCCATTTTCCTTTTGTGCCATCTACCTCTTACTCTAACTGTAGCTACAACTAATTAATGATCCGATATATCCGTTGCCCCTCTATAAACATGTACATCCTGAAGCCTACCCATCAACCTTTTATCCACCAATAAAAAATCTAACAGACTAGTTTCATTACGTGCTATATCATACCTTGTATACTTACTTATCCTCTTTTTTCATAAAATATGTAGTACAGTAGGGCTCCACTTACATGGCTGGTTAGGTTCCAGGCTTCCGCCTTAAAGCGGAAACTGCCGTAAAGTGGAACACCGTGGAACACCTTGTTGTTTTTTCCTTATAAATGCTAGATAACGTATTTACACTGACATATATTAAATTAGCAATAAAACTAGGCATTAAAAACACAATGAAAAGTAAAAATACACACACAGTACATTTATTACTTACCTTCATTACTTAATATGACTGTGTGAGAGGTGAGTGGCAATGTAGTTATTGAATCAAATCATGAGATGGCAGACCATCATCCTCTAATTCTTCGACTAATTTGATTCGTTTTGGAGACTTGTGTGAAACTTTTGAAGGAATGTATGTTGCTGTTGATGTTGAAGGCTAGCTGTTGATGTTGAAGGCTGTTCAAGGCTAGCTGTTGATGTTGAAGGCTGTTCAAGGCTAGCTGTTGATGTTGAAGGCTGTTCGAGGCTAGCTGTTGATGTTGAAGGCTGTTCAAGGCTAGCTGTTGATGTTGAAGGCTGTTCAAGGCTAGCTGTTGATGTTGAAGGCTGTTCAAGGCTAGCTGTTGATGTTGAAGGCTGTTCAAGGCTAGCTGTTAGGTAAGACACATATGCAACAGTTAGGTATCTTTATTTCGAAATGTTTCGCCTACACAGTAGGCTTCTTCAGTCGAGTACAGAAAAGTTGATAGAAGCAGAAAAGACTTCAAGACAATGTAATCAGTCCATCACCCTTAAAGTTTTGAGGTGGTCAGTCCCTCAGTCTGGAGAAGAGTATTGTTCCATATTCTGAAACAATATGGAGTTGAAGTGACAGGATGGAGCCTTATATACTAGGGGAGATATCATTGAAGTGTATAAGTGGATGACGGGCATAAACAAGGGAGACATTAATAAAGTACTGAGGGTGTCGAACCAGGTAAGAACCAGGAATAATGGATTTAAGTTGGATAAATTTAGATTTAGAAAGGACATAGGTAAGTACTGGTTTTCTAACAGAGTTGTAGATGCGTGGAACAGTCTTCCCAGTGGGCTGATAGAGGTTAGGACCTTGGGTAGCTTTAAGAAGAGACTGGACAAATATATGAGTGGGAGGGGCTGGGTTTGATTGGTGTCAAGGGGTACGGGAGTTATTTCTTGAGTAGCTTTAGGTAGATGTCGTTTTGATAAGGACCTGCCTCGTATGGGCCAGTAGGCCTTCTGCAGTGTTCCTACATTCTTATGTTCTTATGTTCTTATACCACCAGGAGGTGAGATGTAGGCCACTAGTAGAGGTAAGAATGTAGTCGTTGGGAGGTCAGGTCCCTACTCAAATCCATCCATTCTCACTAGTAGAAGTTATCCAAGTTGATTTCAGGTCTGTACCAAGATACCCTTGTGCTGCAGTGTCTGACAGAGTGGACATTAAAATGGTATAAAATACCGACAGGTTGTTAGGTAAGACACATATGCAACAGTTAGGTATCTTTATTTTGAAACGTTTCGCCTACACAGTAGGCTTCTTCAGTCGAGTACAGAAAAGTTGATAGAAGCAGAAGAGACTTGAAGATGATGTAATCAATTAACCCTTTGAGGGTTTCGGCCGTACTAGTACGGCTTATGACCCAGGGTTTTTGACGTACTAGTACGCCTAAATTCTAGCGCCCTCAAATCTAGTGGGAGAAAGCTGGTAGGCATACATATGAAAGAATGGGTCTATGTGGTCAGTGTGCGCAGTGTAAAAAAATCCTGCAACACACAGTGCATAATGAGAAAAAAAACTTTGACCGTGTTTTCGGAATAAAGCAGCGACTTTGCACTGTATTTTCGTATGGTATTTATTATTGTATTCTAGTTTTTTTGGTCTCATTTTATAGAATGGAAGACATATTACAGAAATTGAGATGATTTTTGACTGGTTTTACAATGAAAAGTACCTTGAAATTGTGCTCAAAGTAGCAGAAATGTTCGATTTTTACCAAAGTTCAAAAGTAAACAAATCATGCCAAGCGTCCAATACACGTCAACTGGTGAGTCTGATATTCTTTCACAAGTGTGCTGATATTATTTATACCATTTCTACACTAATGCAGTAGTCTGCATAACAGTAAATCTTCTATTTTTTGTAAGAATAAAAATTGAAAGTGGAAAGCCAAAGAAATATAAAAGGGGCCTGGGGATGTGACTAACAAACAGAGGAAATGTTATTTTAGTGCCAGGAATGTCTTTCTTGTTTATTCTGGACCCTATTTGGAAATTGGCATCTTTTGAAATTTGTGTGAAATTGTCAAAATTGCTAAATTCTGACCACTGTATTGGATAGTTGAAATCAGTAAATGGGTGGTTTCTTGTACTCATTCAATAGAAAAAATGGAGTTCTAAAGAAATAGGTATGATTTTTGTCGACTAGTACACAGGAATTGGCCGAAAATAGGGCTCAAAGTGGGCAAAATCGCCGATGCATAAACATCGTTGAGACTGCTAACTTCGCGAGAGCATAATTCCGTAAGTTTTCCATCAAATTTCATACTTTTGGTGTCATTATGATCGGGAAAAGATTCCCTATCTTTTCATAAGATTTTTTCTAATTTGGCCGACCCTGAGAACAAGTCTTGGAGAGGGCCTGTCGACCCTCAAAGGGTTAAAGGCTCCCCATTTTCATTTACCCCTGGCACCCCAAATTCTGCTTTTTGTTTTAGTAAGCTATTCGTGAAAAGGGGTTACTAGCCCATTGTCCCCAGCATTTTAGGAGGAAAGATTCTTATTCCTCTTCCCCATGGATATGAAATAAAAAACACTATTAAGATAAAATCAAAGAAAACTTAGATGATTGTGTATACGTAAATGTGTACATGTATGTGTAGTGTTACCTAAGTGTAAGTAGAAGTACCAAGACATATGTGAAATCTTGCATGTTTATGAGACAGAAAAAAGACACCAGGAATCCTACCATCATGTGAAACAAATACAGGCTTCCTTTTTACACTCACTTGGTAGGATGGTAGTACCCTACCTCAGTGGGAGACGGCTGACTTGTTAAAAAAAAAAAAATTGGTATCGGGAGCAAGGGGGCTACTAACCCCTTCTCATGTAAAAATTAGTAAATGTAAAAAGAAGGTAAACTGTATTTTTCTTATTTTTTGGGTTATTTTGCCTCAGTAGGAGATGGCTGGTATGCTGAAAAAAAGAAAATACTATATATGAAAGTGTCATTTACCCAAGCAGTGATGACATATATTTTTGGGGGGCTGTAAATGCCATACCATGATATCACTCATTTAGCCAGCTCGGAAGTACTTAAAGTTGTCTTTGCTTTTTTAGGCCTTCTTCATCTCCTGTGTATAGTGAAGGATTTTCCACTAGGTAGTTTTATCCATGTCTCCAGACTCTACTCTTTGAATCTTCCCTGCTAGTTTTAACCCTTTGACTGTTGGTGTCGTATAAATACATCTCATGAGCCAGTGTTTTTGACGTATTAATATGACAAAATTCTAGTGGCTTCAGATCAAGCGGGAGAAAGTTGGAAGGCCCATATGTGAGAGAAAGGCTGTGTGGTCAGTGTGCGCAGTATAAAAAAAAATCCTGCAGCACACAGTGCATAATGAGAAAAAAAAACTGACTGTGTTTTTGGATTAAAAAGCTGAATTTGAGGTGTATTTTCGTATAGTATTTATGGTTGTATTCTCATTTTCTTGGTCGCATTTCATAGAATGGAAGACATATTACAGAAGCAGAGATGATTTTGATTGGTTTCACGATGAAGAGGGCCTTGAAATTGAGCTCAAAGTAGTGGAAATGTTTGATTTTTGCCGATGTTCAAGAGTAAACAAATGACATCACCATCCAGTAAGAGTCCAACTAGCCATTCTAATATGCAGTCATGAATGGATTGACATTATTTATACAATTATTACAGTAATGCAGTAATCTGCATAACAGTAGATCTTCTATTTTTTGTGTGAATAAAAATTTAAAATAGAAAACAAGAGTAATATGAGGGGCCTGGAGATGTGACTAATGAACAGAGAAAATGTTACTTTAGTGCCAGGAATGTCTGCATTGTTTTTTCTGGACCTATTTTGAAATTGGCATCTTTTTTAATTTGCGTGAAATTGGCCAAATTGCCAATTTCTGACCACTTTATTGAGTAGTTGAAATCGGTAATGGGTGCTTTCTTGTACTCAATTGATAGAACAAATGGAGTTCTAAGGAAATAGCTATGAGTTCGGTCGACTGGAACAACGGAATTGGCTGAAAATAGGGCTCAAAGTGGGCGAAATCGCCTATGCGTATATATCACCGAGATCACTAACTTCACGAGAGCCTAATTCTGTAAGTTTTCCATCAGATTTTGTACTTTTGGTGTCATTACCATTGGGAAAAGACTATTATTTTATAAGATATATATATATATATATATATTTTTTTTTCGAATATTTTGCGACACAGAGACACTTCAGGATTTGGGTTTTCGACAGTCAAAGGGTTAAGGGTGTAAACAAATTCCAAGTGCTGTGCACAGATCATGTGCCCTTGAAATTGCCACCTTCTTGGTATATCACAAATTCTTATTCAGTCACATGGTTTGCCTGATTGATGACCAGAATGTGACTTTGTGACATATTTGTGTCACAATTTATAGCTTTGCCAAAAGGGCAGAGAGAGTTGTTCAAGTCATACAACTGAAGTCTCTATAAAGAACAGCTGCAGTTAATGGGTATATTAAACTTCAGTTATATATTATTTGGGGTATATTAAACTTCATCTCCATGGGAAAGTGGAACAGAATTCTTCCTTCATAAGCCATTCGTGTCATAAGAGGTGACTAAAATGTTGGGAGGAAGGAGCTATAACCCCCTTCTCCTGTATATATTACTAAATTTAAAAAGAGAAACTTTCGTTTTTCTTTTTGGGTCACCCTGCCTCAGTGGGATACAGCTGGTTTCTTGAAAGAAAGATTATTAAACTTCAATTGTATATGAGAAACTTAAAAAAATATTAGTTATTCATGTAAAAATTTGTATATTTGCATTTCTCTTGTACAACTGTTATTCAGGTCACGGCCAGTAAATGGAGAAGACACTGCACCTTCATCCAAACGTATCAGTATTCATTACCCTGACCAGATACACCAAGATCACCCAGACCCTACACAGCCTATGGAGTCACAGGTAACTTTTTCTCATATTTATCCCTTTCAGGGTCCAAACCCCCGATCTGAAACTTGTTCACAGGGCCCAACGACTTTCAAAAAAAAAAAAATTCTTATTTTTTCTTATGAAATGGTAGAAAATCTTTTTCTGAAGTAATAAAACAAAAGTACAAAATTTGATGGAAAATTGGTGAAATTATGCTTTCGCAAATTTTGCTGAGTTGGCATTATTTACGCATTGGCGATTTTGCCTACCCACTTTGACTCCTATTTTAGGCAAATTACATTGTTCCAGTTGACAAAATTCTTAGTTATTTCGCTAGTATGCCTTCCATTTTATTGATTGAGCACAAGAAACCGCCCAATCAATTATGTATTTCAACTACCCAATAAAGTTATCAGAAATTGGTCATTTGGCCAATTTGACACAGGCATTCTCGGCATAAAAGTAACATTTTCTCTGTTCATTAGTTATGTTCCCAGGCTTTACATATGAATTCCATTTTGATTTTTTATTTGCACAAAAAATAGAAGACTTACTGTTATGTAATACAGTGGACCCCCGCATACCGCACACATCGCATACCGTACAATCCGCATACCGCTCGCTTTTTTTCGCAAAAATTTTGCCTCGCATACCGCCCAAAAACCCGCTCACCGCTCTTCGTCCGAGACGCGTCCAATGTGCGGCCTGAGCCACGCTCACATGTTCCGCCGGTGGCATTGTTTACCAGCCAGCCTCCGCGGTAACATCCAAGCATACAATCGGAACATTTCGTATTATTACAGTGTTTTTGGTGATTTTTTCTGGAAAATAAGTGACCATGGGCCCCAAGAAAGCTTCTAGTGCCAACCCTACAGCAATAAGGGTGAGAATTACTATAGAGATGAAGAAAAAGATCATTGATAAGTATGAAAGTGGAGTGCGTGTCTCCGAGCTGGCCAGGTTGTATAATAAACCCCAATCAACCATCGCTACTATTGGTGGTACAGCTGCTGCTGCTGCTGTACCACCATCAGCTGCTGCTGCACTGTCAGCTGCTGCTGCTGTTGTACCACCGTCAGCTGCTGCTGCTGCTGTAGTACCGTCTGCTGCTGCTGTAGCATCGTCTGCTGCTGGTGTAGCATCGTCTGCTGCTGGTGTAGCATCGTCTGCTGCTGCTGTAGCATCGTCTGCTGCTGCTGTAGCATCGTCTGCTGCTGCTGTAGCATCGTCTGCTGCTGCTGTAGCATCGTCTGCTGCTGCTGTAGCATCGTCTGCTGCTGCTGTAGCATCGTCTGCTGCTGCTGTAGCATCGTCTGTTGCTGCTGTAGCATCGTCTGCTGCTCCTGTAGCATCGTCTGTTGCTGCTGTAGCATCGTCTGTTGCTGCTGTAGCACCGTCAGCTGCTGCTGCTGCTGCTGTAGCACCGTTGTTGGTGTGGCTTATTGAGAATACCAAGAAACAATTAACCCCAGAGGATTTGCCACCCAGGATAACCCAAAAAAGTCAGTGTCATCGAAGACTGTCTAACTTATTTCCATTGGGGTCCTTAATCTTGTCTCCCAGGATGCAACCCACACCAGTCGACTAACATCCAGGTGAACAGGAAAAAATGCCTGGAACTAGTGCTCATATTGGTGAATCTAAAGCCAGCAAAGGTTGGTTTGAGAGATTTAAGAATCGTAGTGGCATACACAGTGTGATAAGGCCTGTTCTGGAAGAAAATGCCAAACAGGACCTACAGTACTCAGGAGGAAAAGGCACTCCCAGGACACAGTGTCTCATCAGTCATTGCTGCATCTTCAATAAAGGTAAGTGTCATTTATTCTTCATTTAGTAGAGTAGTACATGCACAGTATATATTGTGCATGTACTACTCTACTATTGTGCATGTATCTTTGATTTCCATTATTTCTTATGGGGAAAATTCATTCGTATACCGAACATTTCGCATAGCAATCAGCCCTCTTGCACGGATTAAAGTCGCTCTGCGGGGGTCCACTGTATGTTAAATCCGGTATTCGATACATTTTAACGCAAAAATTTTGCCTTGCTACTCGTTAAAAAACCCGCCACACGCGGTTCGTCTGGGATGCGTCCACATGAGTGCCAATGTTTACAAGCCAGCCAGTGTGCTTGCATCTAAACATACATTCGGTACATTCCATATTATCACAGTGTGTTTGGTGCTTGTTTCTGCAAAATAAGTCACCATGGGGCCCCAAGAAAGCTTCTAGTGCCAACCCTGTGAGAATTAGTATGGAAATTAAGAATGATTTTGAAGGGTTTAGGGCTAACCCTGAGAAGTCTATGCCAATTGTGGAATCCATTGTGCCTACTTCAAAAATTAAGGAAATGTGTGCAAAGTGGGTTGAACTGCAAACATTTATGGATGAAAATCACCCTAACACAGCTATTGCAAGCCGTGCTGGTGACTATTACAATGACAAAGTTGTGGCCCATTTTAGACAAATCGTAAAGGAACGGGAGGTACAGAGCTGTATGGACAGATTTGTTGTGCGACAGAGGTCAAGTGACTCTAAAGCTGGTCCTAGTGGCATTAAGAGAAGAAGGGAAGTAACCCCGGAAAAGGACTTGCTACCTCAAGTCCTAATGGAAGGGGATTCCCCTTCTAAACATTAACAACTTCGACACTCTTCCCTCCTCCCATCCCATCAATCATCACCAGATCTTCATTAAAGGTAAGTGTCATGTATTCTTTTGTTAGTAGAGTACTACAAACTGTGCATGTCTTCTTCAGTTTGTGTGCATTAAACTTAATATTTCATGTGGTAAAACTTTTTTTTTCATAGTACTTTTGGGTGTCTTGCACGGATTAATTTGATTTCCATTATTTATTATGGGGAAATTAATTCGCCTTCTGATAATTTTGGCATACGATGAGCTCTCAGGAATGGATTAATATCGTATACTGGAGGTCCACTGTATTGTAATAATTGTATATATAATATCAGCGCATTTGTGAACACACATTAGACCCACTAGTTGACGTGTATTGGATGCGTGACATGATTTGTTTACTCTTGAACATCGGCAAATATGGAACATTTCCGCTACTTTGAACTCAATTTAAAGCTATTTTAAGTCCTCAAAACCATCAAAATCATCTCTATTTCTGTAATATATCTTTCATTCTATCAAATGAGACCAAGAATGTAGCTATAAAAACCATACAAAATTACACTGCAGTTATTTTTTCCTCATTATATACTGTGTGCTTCAAGATTTATCTTATATGGTGCACACTTACTGCATCGATCCATTCTGTCATATTTAGTCCCAAATTCATCGCTCGCAGCTTATCTGAGTGAGTTCAGCTCATCATATAGTACTATGGCACGGTCCCTGAAAGGGTTAAAGCCCTTCAAGGAGGGGTGCCTTGATCCTGGCAAAAGGTGTTTGATCATAGGAATTAGAGCTACCTTCCTCCTTTCTCAGGTCAAATCTGATTACTACCTCCTTCAGTCTAAGCAAAAAAAAAAGTTTGAAAAGAAAAAGTGTTGGGAAATAATTGCATAAAACAAAAGCTTGTTAGGGACCTTAGAGAATATAAAACATCAATATCTGTTCATCCTAGGAGTAGGTTGGTGGACAACATCTGCCCAGGGAGGTACTACCGTCCTGCCAAGTGAATGTAAAACGGAAACCTGTATTTTTTTTTTATTTTTTATTATTATCACACTGGCCGATTCCCACCAAGGCAGGGTGGCCCGAAAAAGAAAAACTTTCACCATCATTCACTCCATCACTGTCTTGCCAGAAGGGTGCTTTTCACTACAGTTTTTAAACTGCAACATTAACACCCCTCCTTCAGAGTGCAGGCACTGTACTTCCCATCTCCAGGACTCAAGTCCGGCCTGCCGGATTGCTGGTGTCTTTTTTCTGTTTCATAAACATGCAAGATTTCAAGTACGTCTTGCTACTTCTTACACTTAGGTCACACTACACATACATGTATACAAGCATATATATATACAGTGGACCCTCGACCAACGATGGCATCGATTAACGATAAATCTGACTAGCGATACATTTTAACGCAAAAATTTTGCCTCGACTAGCGCTTAAAAACCCGACCAGCGCTATTCGTTCCGTACCATACGCGTCCACTTTGGCCTGAGCGCGCCTCACTTGTCCCTTTGGTGCCAGTGTTTACAAGCCAGCCAGCCACCGCGGTCACTTCCAAACATACAACTGGAACATTTCATATTATCACAGCCTTTTTAGTGATTGCACCTGCAAAATAAGTCGCCATGGGCCCCAAGAAAGCTTCTAGTGCCAACCCTTCAGCAAAAAGGGTGAGAATTACTATGGAGATGAAGAAAGAGATCATTGATAAATATGAAAGTGGAGTGCGTATCTCTGAGCTGGTCAGGTTGTATAATAAACCCCAATCAACCATCGCTACTATTGTGGGCAAGAAAACGGCAATCAAGGAAGCTGTTCTTGCCAAAGGTGCAACTATGTTTTCGAAACTGAGATCGCAAGTGATAGAAGATGTTGAGAGACTTTTATTGGTGTGGATAAACGAGAAACAGATAGCAGGAGACAGCAACTCTCAACCGATCATATGTGAAAAGGCTGGGAAGTTCCCATGCGTTTAATTAAAAAAAATGCCAGCAACAAGTAAAAGTGAGGGGGTTTTTTTAAAGGGCCAGCAAGGTTTTTTTTTGAGAGGTTTAAAAAGCGTTTTGGGATTCAAGTGTGAAAAGGGCATGGTAGGCTCCCATTGGACCAAAAATTCTGCTGAAAAAAAAGGTGCGGGAAACTTAAAGGGATTTAAAAAAGAAATTTGGGGAAACTGAAACCTGAACAAGTTTTTTAATTGTGACGAAAAAAAGCCTTTTTTGGGAAGAAAATCCCAAGCAGGACCTAAAATTATTTCAGGGGGGGAAAAGGTATTCCGGAAATAAGCCTTGAAAGAAAAGCCTTTTACTTTTTTAAAGTGGGCCCTTTTGGAAGTGGTGATTTGAAAAGTGAAGCCTTTATTTTTGAAATCCCCCTCTGAAACTTTT